GCTACAACAGTTTTGTTAAATATTGATGAATTTTGGTTGAATTTAAAGTCACAAAATAATTATACACATTTGATGACCTTCTTGGTAAGTTTTGTAGAATGTGTCACTTTTGAGATGCTTTAATACTCCCAAACCATTTGTTATGGGCAAAAGAAATAGTGAATAGAGAAAAATGAGCAAACTATATAAAGAATAGATAATGATGGGATACAAAAGTATAAAGAAAAACTGGAGAAAAAAAAGAATTAGGTGATGCAATACTGATTACAGAAATGAACAATGTACAGAATTAAGAAATCATCTAATCACAGAAAAGGTTAATAATAAAAACATTTTCAAGCGTTATTTTTAAACATCAAGAAAAAATTCCATCAAATCTAGAAAATACAGATTTAAATTAAGTTTCAAGTTGATTGGACTTCAACTTCATCAAAAACTACCTTGACCAAAAACTTTAACCTGAAGCGGTACAGACGGACGAACGGACGCACAGACCGAAAAACATAATGCCCCTCTACTATCGTAGGTGGGGCATAACAAGAATTAGGAGATGCAATACTGATTACAGAAATGAACGATGTACAGAATTAAGAAATCATCTAATCACAGAAAAGGTTAATAATAAAAACATTTTCAAGCGTTATTTTTAAACATAAAGAAAAATTTCCTTCAAATCTAGAAAATACAGATTCAAATTAAGTTTCAAGTTGATTGGACTTCAACTTCATCAAAAACTATCTTGACCAAAAACTTTAACCTGAAGCGGGACAGACGGACGGACGGACGAACGGACGCACAGACCGAAAAACATAATGCCCCTCTACTATCGTAGGTGGGGCATAAAAAGAATAAGGTCATGCAATGCTGGTTACAGAAATGAACGATGTACAGAATTAAGAAATCATCTAATCACAGAAAAGGTTAATAATAAAAACATTTTCAAGCGTTATTTTTAAACATAAAGAAAAATTTCCTTCAAATCTAGAAAATACAGATTAAGGACCCCACTATCCAGACCCTCATATATGAGAAGCTTCAATGGTTGCATCGACGTGAGACTTCTATGGCATAACTTTCTCAGAACAACAATAGTGCTTCAACTTAAAGTGTCATAATTGTTTAAGGGTCCTCAAAATCTAGTAACTTTCTTTTTATGGCGAGTTTGCAATTTCAGTAACTGTAAAAATGGCTTTAGGTGAAATTAATCAACTGTTTTGGTTGTCAGCTGTGAAGATTAAAACACCGTACACTCTGCTGTGCCTAAATACTATCTAAATTTAAATATTCATTAATGATATAACTTTATATCATTGTTTTGTACTTTTATCTGCCAATTATATGTATTATTATTTTTTTTTTTTTAATTTTAAAAGGTGGATTATTTATTTTTTATATGGTTAAGCTTTGATTTATGCTTAATCGAAAACCGAATAAGGAGCTATATTGACGTCTCTAAAATCTCCCATTTTCCAATTAACAATCAGGTACCCAGAAAAGTTGCATACCAAGAATGCTTTAGCTTTTTATTTACAAGTAATTATTTGCACTTTGTAATCGTTCCCCCTAATTCCAAATATTTTTAATGTAAATTTATATCAGATTGGAGTAAGTGGTCACAACCTCTATAAAGTTTTGAATGTAACGATTTGCATTAATCAATCGGATCATTAAAAGATAATTAATATTTTAAAATTTCAAACAGAACTTGTTTTAAACAAACTGAAAATTAATCAACAACGAAAGACTACACCCGGTGTAAACATTGACATCGTGGAACAAGTAAAAGCGTATTTACGTATAATTCGAATGCTATGATCAGATCTTATAACTTACCTCATTTTGATAAAGGTGCCTTCTGCTGGCCCTTCTTCATACGAACTAATTATCCCTTAGCTGGAGATCCCGACCCCTATATGATAATACGGGTTGCCCTACCCTGTGTATTGAAATTATACAGTTTATTCCAAGTCAACCGTATGCTAAATTCACATTTTATTTTTAGAATATAATCAATAGCTTAAATGGGAAGTCTTTCAAATATTAAAAAACTGGTTCTGCTAGTTTTACCTGAGATTTACCTGAAGAAGGCGTGGCCAACAGATATGTTAAAATTTTCCGTACAACGAGCGATAACTCTACTGGCATTTAAGGTAAAAATTATTTTCCGTATGTGGTATCAATTTCATTTAGATTTATTAATTTCTCACTAATATTTCGATATAACGTGTTTTAAAAGTTAAACTTGAATGCCACCATAATCAACTGTAAATTGGGGTTTCATTCATAGTTTTTTATTAATTCAAATAATATTTTTATGAAGTAAATTTTCACTTAAACTGAGATTGTCAGTATCTTCAGAGTTATTCTTTGAAATCTGATCAAATCTGGTGAGAATCTTTGCAGAAATGTCACAGTTATTACTGAGATTAAGTCTTCAGAAGGATTACCTTAAATTATGTTGGATTAGTAAGACACGTTTAGAATACTCTTCCATCGTTTCTTTTAGGCCAAGAAAATCAAATATTATTTCACTGGCAATGGATATATACATGAACGTTTCGCTTTGGCGGTTCTAGACCCCACAGTTCTTGGGTTTTATTTTGTTTTTTATCTTACGTAAAGATCGACAAAATTATCTCTAGAAACCACTTTCCACCAGTCCCAGTGGAATCCGTTAGCCCCTTCCCCCTTTTAAAACTTTCGGTTAGTTTAAAAGTCTTTAACATTTATTTTTAAAATAATACAGTTACGTAGTCATGACTAGTACTCCGATACTTAATAAATCGGCATGGTATCATCGGCAGTTAATTCAAATACGATTATTCCTCAATATAATTAAAATATAAATGCGGATCCAGGATTTTGAAAAAGGGCGGGCGGGACACCCAAACCAATCTTGGAGTGGGACATGTAAAATGTATATACCTTAACCATGAATGTTGCTCCATAAGGGAGGGCCCTGGCACCCTGCCCCCCTCCCCCTGATTTTTATAGTGAGTGTTACTGTACAAATTCTTGATCTGTGATTTTGCTACAAAGAGTGTGTGAGTTACGAATGATCATAACTTTAATCGTATTGGGTCGTCCTTGAAGTAAGTGGGTACAAAGTTGTTTTTGTCAACATTTGAGGATCGCTATTCACCTGAAGATTGTTAAATACTGCAGATCAGGCATAATGCATATACAATGAATGTAAAATATCATATATACAATGTAAGATGGTAGAAAGATCTTAACAATTTACTCGAAGACCATACTCTCCAGCAAAAAAGTCAGCATAGATCCTGCAATATGTGAGTTAACTGAGCTAAACAAAGAAAAAGCTTGGTGTGCTTGGACGATATACAAATAAAATATACACAGAAAGAAAATATGAAAATTAAATTGTATATTGTATCTAACTTCTGTATCCAAAAAATCAAGATAGACGTTAAAAGTTTTCCATCTTATAAGTTTAAACCATCGTCTCGTCGATATGAATGAAAAATTAGTAGTTTAGGGAAATTACAGACGGTGCCTCGATGTATATGATAGTTGCCAATTTTGTCAATTGGGCTGGTTGACGATGACATGCATGTATTTTCTACCTTGTAGAGAGACTTAAAAATCTTTATGGACAATTTTCGATCTTATCTAAGAACACTTAGCAGATGCATTTATTAATCTGGATATTAACAAATGCAGATATTTTATTTACTTAAATTGATTTTGTGAACAGTTGGTAAATTATGTGTTCAATGCAAATGGATGATATTTTTTCTTAAAGCTGACTTGTATCAATGTGCCGCGTGTTCAAGAGCTAATGCATTCACATGGCTTCCTTCGTCAACTTAAAAAAGAACCTTTTCTTTTTTTTTACCGAACTTGGTGGTTGGAATGTTTTCTTAGAGTTTTTTGTTGTATCTTGGTTCCTTTTCAATAACCACCATGGCCGGAACGTCTAAGAAATGGAAGCCTTAGTAAGGGTAACATGCAAGTAATTGTCTTTATGATGTTCATATTGAGAAAATCTGAAAGATGTGGGGGAAAATGCACAAAAAAAGCAAGATTTACCTGCTGTCAAGCAGTATTATCAGATGATTCCTTATTGGAGTCTGACAAAACTAAGAATTTCAGCACATCAAGTTTGCAAATAGAAACTGATAGAAACCAGGGTACCCCTTAGACTTTGTGGGTAGTGTGGCTCATGTGAGGTAGAGGATGAGATACACTTTCTCCTATACAATGCACAAAATTTAACGACTAGCTACACTGTCAACGTATAAGTGTTCCGCTTAACAGAAGTTCCATGGATACTTTGTTTTTAACAATGTCATAATATCTGGTCCTGGTGGAACAAATATTGTATACCCTTTATTCCGTAAGGAAACAAATACTGTAATATTTGTTCCAGTGGTAATTATATTACAGAAAATGTCTTCCACTTGGAACTTATATTATGAAGGAACTTCTATTTCGTGACAATTCAACTTGTATCTTTGCTAACCATGTTGGAACCACCCTTTATCCTCGGTTGGAACCCCCTTTTAAAAATGGCTGAATCCGCCCCTGCTGGGACTAATATATATTGTATTAGTCCCAGTTTTGGTTAATGACATGTGAGGAAATATCAGTATTAAAACCTGGGACTATTATACTAGTATAATAGTCCCAGTTAAAACATATGAATAATCTTGTGTGTCACTGTAGATAGTTTAATGCTTTAATGAATTGCTAAAACAAAATAAAGTTTCTGTGCCGCATATGTAGTGTTTTAGTCGCCTGTTGTAACAGCTTTAGTTAAACTCATGTTAATTGTTATTTTTTTTTATATATATGCCTATTCAAAATTAAATTTGATTACAAAGTTACTTTCTTTTATGGAAATTTTGGAAAATTACTTGTGTGTATACTAAATACTTTGAAACCGGCCTTTAGTATGCAAGTTGCTTGAATTTCCGGAAAGTTAACTTCTCTCGGCAGTTGGAATGGTGATTAGATTATTGATATTGAGTCTATTTTTTATCATTACCTAACACCGGATCGCTTATTACACAGAATATTTATTTAACACTGAGTATGTGAATCTATTTTGTTTATTCAAAAAAGTGCAGTCAAAGTAACGACTAATACTTTTGAATAAGTAAGTACGAGGACAAAATCATTGAAAATGATATTGTTTTTTGTCTCGGGTCATTTTTTAGGTCGTTATACAATGTACTTGTTGACGTTTCATCATTTCATGATATTTAATTGTTAGATTTTGTTAGGGGATTCGATGTTTGCTATTTCATATATTAAGATCTATCTCTCAACATACAAATTTGGGTGCAGACTTAATTCCAGCTGGGGTTATCCCCTACCCATATAGGATAGTATAGTATATTTCATAAGAAAATCGTAAAAATACTACCCATTGCCTTCGTGAAATATGCAACCCATTAATATATTCAAATCAAACCAAATCAAATAATTTTATTGTTGTAAATTCTAATACATGAATACCAGCTGACATTTACAAAATATAAATAAAAAAAATAAACAAAGACATATTTTCTCAATGATAAGAGACACATATTTTATATCTACATTGATTTGATTTTTCAGTAAGTTGACCCATACCAGCAGCACGTCTGTTTACACCTTTATATATTGGAAGAGACCCCCTGTGTTTCTCTAAAACTGGTTGCTCTGTCAGTCATGATCACCAAAAATCAGTTAGGTTAACCAATTTCAAGTGGAGTGAAGTGGTGGTCTTGATGTCTGACTAAAATTTTTGTGATGTTTTTATCCTTTTTTAGGCTTTCTGGTATTTAATATAGCTCCTACATTTAATTAGTAAATCACAATGTATATCAATATTTGATTGGTCGTAATTACAAAAAAAGATCGTTAAAAAATTGTGATGTTCTCAGATCAATTCATTAAGATATGAACTGATCATTGCTATTGGTAATCTTGTATACATGTTTAGGATTTAGAGTCCACAGCAGCTTTTTTGATTTGATTGAAAAGAAAGGATATGTATGGTACATAAAATTCATGACACAAAATCACTACATACATTTGAAAAAAAAAGCAAAGAAACAGCTTTGATCTTTGCTAATCTTTATTATCTTCTTGTCTGTTTTTTTGTTTTTTTTAATTCCTAGCTTTTGCAATATTCTTAAGTAACTTTTGTAGTATTTTGTTCATAATTTTCCAACTTTTAAGTGAAATTATTGCTTTAAGTTTGTGAACACTTCTCCTTTGGTGGATCAACAAAAGTCTAGGATGCTGAAGATTATTTGCCGTAATCTTGCTAGCTTCTAAAAAAAATCAGGATGCTAGATTGCTAAAAGACTTTTGTGAAAAATGACATTTTATGTCAATGTCAAAATTGCATGAATGGTGCCCAGAACAATAATAACAGGCCCTCTTGGAAAGAAAGAGGATAATTACATTGTTACCCTCAGTTAAAAGCTACATGTATCCATGTTGCTAGAATCTAAATTTATTAGGGATGTCAACGAGTACTCAAGTACTCGAGTATCGCTCGGTAGTACCGAGTATCGAATACCAAAATAAGACTCAACTAATCGGTTTTCTGCCAGAATGTTGTTGCCTTTTTAAAGAAAAAAATATTTTTTTGAGAGCGTCTCCCGGGAAATTAAATATTAATCAAAATTAATCAAAATTAAAATACGTTTCGAATGTTTGCGTTTAATTGTCATTTAAAATTCCCTCGAACAGAGGTAGGCTATGCACAAGAGCACCGTTCCAAGGTCTACACTTTTAGCTAATCTTGTCTTAGTCATTCTACCACCTCTGTACCGCCAGAGCAAACATTTTTATCAGCAGAACTGTTAGTTACGTAACAAAGTTGATTAATCGACTCGTCCCCGAAAAAGTTGACAAGATAATATATCTAAATCAGAACAAATTCGTTGCACCCTGTTTCAACCCTCAGAAAATGGTTAAATTCTAATCAAAATCCCTTTGTTGATCATTAAATGTGTTTCTTTACCATTCCCAAATACTGTTGTTTGAGTAATCAATTTTCTATATATATTTATTAATTAATTGTTTAGATTATTGTCAGTTTACATAATTAGTACATGTAGTAAATGAGCTATTAGTTATGGTATACAATTCCTGGGACTATCATCTAGTCCTAGGTAATAATGTTTAGGGTTTTACATCCATAAGACAACTCCCCACAATCCGTAAATTGGGTATAATTTTGAATGAATGCATCTTTATTCTCACAAACCAAATACATAGTTACAATGAAGATAATATATTACATTGATACAAATGTTAATAATATAGCACATGTGAAATACAAATGACTGTTATATAATATTATATTATATATTTGGACAAAAGATAAAAAAAACATATACTAGTAGTTGTTTTTAACCAGGAGGATAGACTTTCACAGAAATAGATTTAATAAATCTACAAAGTTTCTTAAGGTGATGATGATGGGAGTTTTTAATGACCTTTACTGGCTATACAGCCCTCGCATGGTCGGATTCTTAAGGTGGCTCGGGTGTCTTCCTCCATCTTGGATTCTGAAGTAGCAGATAACGTTGGTCTAGATCTTTGATTAAATGTGCAAATTTTGAGAGTAGTATGCAATTTATGTGTAAGACTTTTGATATAATTATAGAAAATTGTATGTTTTATCATAATTATTGCTGTAATTTCTCAAAAACACCTTATGTGTGTTTGATTAACTTATTTTCAACTTTGCCAAATAAGGGGAGATAACTCTGATAAAGTCATTTTTATAATAGAAAGTGTTGTGAATTTACCTATTTTAATCTGTAGCAAGAAAACAAGTTCGATGACCCCATTTATTCTTTTTCTTATCTGAAAGCATGTTATAAGAGCTATCTTCTCACATTATATCTTAAAATTCTATCAGGTAGTTTTCTTTTTATCACACAAAATTTGATTTTCCATGCATTATCTATACAAAATCTGACAATTTTGCACTACCTGTAGCATGAAAAAAAGACCGGTGACTCATACTTTTTATTATATTTTTGAAAAAAGCATGATAAATACTTCATTTTGACAAGTTATTAAAAAATTCTATCAATTTTAATTAAGACGCCCTAGCCACCTTAAGCTCAACACAATTTCGGGTTGAACATACTTGTTTGAATTTAATAACATTTATATTATTATTACAATATTGTGGTAAGTATTTGCTTCTTTTATCTTTGTTTTTCCATTTTGTAGATGTTTTTCTGAGCGAGTACTCGAGTATTGTTCGGTAAATCCAACGAGTACTCGATTAGTAAATCTTCACCGAGTTGACATCCCTAAAATTTATCATTTATGCAAATATCATATTTAATTTTAGAAGAAAAGCATCATGTCTTCAAATAAATCCAATGGAGTTGTCCCAGGAGAGGAGGCCATGCCGATCAATGTGGATGATACAGAATATAAGAGATTGTATGAACTACCAACTATGCGATACAGCAATATTGTAATCCTAATAGTTACTGTTGATACCATTGTTTCTATTGCATTATGGGTAACAGGTAAACATTTATGGTTTAGTATGCCACTTATATATAAATTATCAGTTAGTAATTTTCCTTCATCTACTTACACTACAGCTCAGGTGGATTTTGCTTTGTCCACACGCCAACAGGCTGAGTGGGCACCAGGTGGGCAAAATTTCTAGCTTGTCCACTCTGCCCACCCATTTTGAATCAAAAGACTTGCAAGTACAATCAATTGAAAAAAGCAGATAAGCATTTATAATCAATATTTTTACAAGAAAAAAAAGAGAATATAGCTAGAGTGGTCACAGGTGGGCTGTCCACTGAGGGCAGGTGGAAAAAGCAAAATCCACAAGGGCTGTTGTGTATATTGGAAATGTACCATATGTTTGATAAATATTTAGAGTGAATGATATGTGGGCAAACATCAGTGATTAACCAACAAAAAATGACATAAGCAAGTGTTATGAGTAAAAAGGATAACAGAAATAATAGAAAATATTGCATAACAGACAAATTATCTAATCAACCAACATATGATCATCCAAATCCCCAATAAAACAGATGAAGTCACATGCTAACAAAGACAAACAACAACAAAAACACATAGTCCATGTAGTCCGACATGGTTGAAGGCACTAAATGGGGCAGGGTTTAACTAGTTTATATTTCTAACATTTTAGTCTCCATACTACAAATGTATACAAAATGTATGTCTAAAATAATGATTTGGTTTGTTAAACAAATGCAGATAACATAAACCACCACAACAAAAGGATTGAATGGCAGAACTGTAAAATAATTGATTATCATGATTATCATAGAGAAATTTCATTTTCCAGGAGGCAAAACAAAGTATTTTGTTGACAACATAACAGATTTCCATCTAACAGAATCAGTTTTTGACTTAGTATTGGTGGCAGCTGGTAAAATAATATTTTACGTAACACTGCTGGCATTTCTGGAGACTTCCTCATTCAGACAGATAGATAATCCATATGATTTTGCCTTAACTCAGAAAATAAAAGTTTTACATGTGATACTGATCATCTTCAGTCTTGTAGTTTTTGGATTCACTGTGACTAAAGGTGGATTTGTACTATACAAATTTATAAATGACTCCTCTTATACTAAAATGCATGCAGAGTACAATGCTCTGGTCATATCAGCTGTGTGTTTTAGTTTGATAGAATTCATTGCATCTGTACTTAGCTTTGGAGCAATGAGATCACTGAAGGTGATTCGGATTACCCGCAGATTTAATGATCAGGGTGTTGAGATTGATGATGAAGGGAAAGCCATTCTGAAGAAAGTTAGCCTTAAAAGACTCTTCCTGTTAGCTAAACCTGTAAGTCATTGTAATGGAATATCTAAAATCACTGAATAGTAATTTTTAAGAGTAAAAATAATTTCCAAACTTAACTTCATTAACTGTACTAAGGGAAACTATTCAATCTAAAAAATTATCAAAATCTCATGTTACATCATGTGAATGATTTTTCAGAGCTTATTCATAGAAATCTTTTCAATAGACATAATAGAAGTCACAAAAAATATAACATACAATGTAGTCCATTGTCCTTGACCTAATTTACATGGATCATTGATTCAATCATAATCAGTAAAGCAGGTCAAACATATCAACATGTGCTCTCAGATTTGTGTAAAGTAGTCTCTGTATTGCAATTTAAGTTATTTTTACTATAATAGTATAATATAATAATTATATATAAAGTCATTAGTGTATCATTATTGAAAAAAGACAGTAAACATTTACCTAAAATGTACATGTACAATATACCAACTCCCTGAATTGCTTATGTTTAATTTTATCAGATTTTAATATGCTAAATCTATGTGTAAAAAGTAAGGCTGTGTTATAGAATTAAATGTCAAAGTTTTTTCTACAGGAATGGGGAATTATAGCTGGGGGATCTATAGCTTTAGTAGGATCAAGCGGCAGCCAGATGGCAGCACCATTGTTCTTTGGTAAGGTTGTAGATGCTGCACAGACAGATATGGGTAAGTACAAAAGGTCATAGGGTTTTACTATAATGCCATATAAAAGATATGTGCCCAATTCTTCTCTTGAAAAATAAAAACTTTTGCATTAGTAAAGAAAAAATAATTTTTACAGTTACAGTTGTGACCACAACAGTCTATTGTAAATTTAGAAATTATGGCGATGTTTTATTAATGCAAAAAATGTGACAGTATCAGGTTTGCAATAATAAAAAATCACTTAATTAGGTCTCACATTTTTACCAGTATTTAGTGATTTACAAAAATAAATGCACACATCAATTTCTGAATTTACAGTATTTAAGGATGGTGGTCCTCCACCATTGAATTTCTAACCCCACAATTGGATTTCATTACCACTCTTTATTTTCTCTTTCAATTTTGAAATCTCATAAGAGAAGTATGAAAATAATTCAAAATTAGTATAATATTGAGTGACTATACATGTAATTCAGTTTTGAATTTTTGTCATTAAATTAAGGTACACAAACACACATATGCAATGTAAAGTATCGCAAAAGGTTAAAACTTGATTACTGTTTTCAACAGTTGAAATGATTATTTTATAACCATCACTCTTGAAAATTTATCTGTGGTAATACCCTGCCTGCCTCAGTAACTGGATTTTTTTACTGATCTGTACACCTGTCCATTCCTCTGTCTGTCTCATGTCATGTTGAAATTTTGGTTTAATGTAGTTTATTTTTTGGTTAAGTGTAGCTTGTGGTCACATCAAATTGAAACTTAGTACATATGATTATTGCGAAGTGATCAAATTATAATATACATGATATATATGAGCAAACTTCCATGGTTAACTGAACATGGAAATGTGATAGTGTAAATGGGCAATGTATCCTTATCACATATTCTTGTTTTTCTTTTTTTTATGCCCCTGCCAAAGCGGGGGGGGGGGGGGGGGGGGACATTAAGTTTTACCCTTGTCCGTCCGTACGTCCCAAAATTGGTTTCTGTTCTCTAACTAAAGTTTGCCTCAACCAAATGTTATCAAACTTATACACAATGCTTATGACCTCAAAACACAGATCAAGTTTGAATTTTGGTGGCGTCACTTTAACCGTTCTAGAGTTATGCTCCTTTATATAAATGGAAAAATTGCAAAATTTTTCATTTCTGTTCTCTAACTTAAGTTTGCCTCATTTAAATGTTATGAAACTTATACACAATGCTTATTACCACAATACACAGATCAAGTTTGAATTTTGGTGGAGTCACATTTACTGTTCTAGAATTATTCCCCTTTACAAATGGAAAAATTGCTAAATTTTTCATTTTTTTTCTAAAAATATCAATGTCATTATTCAAGTAATTTTTAAAATTGGAGTTATCTTCCTTTGTCCATGATTATAGTTGAATCAACTACAATCAATGCTTTATACAATGCAATGTTTAATTTTGCCTTCCATTGATAAAACACAGATCAAGTTGAATTTGGTTAGTGTCACTTTAACCATTATTGAGTTATGCCCCTTTATAAATCGAAAAATTGCAAAATTTTTAGTTTCCATTCTGTAACTTAAGTTTGCCCCAACCAAACATTATAAAACCTATACACAATACTCATTACCACAAAACTAAGATCAAGTACAAATTTTTTGTTTCCGTTCTCTAACTTTAGTTTGCCTCAACCAAATGTTATGAAACTTATACACAATGCTTATTACTACATAATACATTTAAGTACGAAATTCGGTGGCGTCACTTTTACCATTCTTGAGTTATGCCCCTTTATAAACATAAAAATTGCTGAATTTTTCTTTTCTTTTCTCTAACATTAGTTTGTCTCAACCAAATGTTATAAAACTTATACACAATGCTTATTACCACAAAACTCAGATCAAGATCAAATTTGGGTAGCGTCACTTTTACCGTTCTTTTAAAGATATTTAATGTGTGTTTTTATATTACCTTCTTTTTTGCAGCGGAGCTTACAAGACTTGTGATTATTCTTGTGATTATATATGTGATTGGATCAATCTTAGCCTTCTTTAGATCATGGTTGTTTACATTGGCTGGACAAAGTTTTGTGGCCAGGTTGAGAAAGAAATTGTTTGCCCAGATCATAGAGCAAGAAGTTGCTTTCTTTGATGAGAATAGGTTAGTAAAAATCATATAAATAGCTTATATATGTAGGACTCAGAGGTGCGATGGGGACGCTGAAGTGCGATGGTCAGGCTGAAGTGCGATGGTCTCTGCCGAAGTGCGATGGTCTATCTTACTCATGATGGCTAGTTTAAAATCTACAGATTATTATGAGAAGTACATGTAGATTTTTTTAAAAAGTTAAAATATAAATCTACAAATGTCACACTCCATTGTACGTAAAAAGGAACCTTTTTTTCAAAAATCACTATAGAAGGTTAACTTTTCCCTATCCACCAATGCCCCCCCCCCCCCCGTTCCTTGCTTTATTTAAAGTTTATAAGCCCTTATCAACTTTGAATCATGGAAAACTGCTTCTAACATACAAATTGACATCTACATCGACATAAAAAGCATTGAAAATGTAGTTAGTTTTGACCATAGCACTTCAGCGTTACTACCATCATACTTCGGCGTATAGCTATCAACAAGATAGCGTCACAATGCCACCATCGCACTTCACCGTGACCAAAAAAGCACTTCAGCGTCAAACCATTGCACCTCAGCCTGACCATCGCAGTTCGGAGGACCATCACGGTTCAGAGTCCTACATATACAAAAATGTATATGGTAAATTAAACAAAAATTGTTTAATCAATGTTAAAAATGTACTAAATTATTGACAATGAAGAACAAAGGTTTAAACACTGTGTTATACCTATGAATAAAAGGAATTGCAGGAGTTAGGTCAGCAAGCAGACATCCAATGGCAAAAATAGCCAAAAGATATCTAGCGAGCAACATACTGTCTCAAACAAGTGACAAATGGCTTATACAGAGACATGTCAATGGCTATCGATAAGTATCGAGAATAGTGGAGAGATCAATATAATATTTATTCATATTTGATGCTGTATTGTCTTAAGCACAAATGGTTTTATAAATTTCATCTTAATTAAATGGAAATAATGAAAGCCTTAGTATGATTTATTATAATTTAATTGTAGAACAGGAGAATTGTGTAATAGATTGGCCTCTGACACTCAAGTTTTACAGAATGCTGCAACTGTAAGTAATGCTTTGTTTTTGTATAATGCCAGTTTCTTTCAAACTTTCAAACTGATTCATTAAGCACCATGTTGATCTTTTGATAGCATACTATTCTTAGGTAGTGGTCACCAGATTTTAAATCTAGTATTTAATGCTTTTTTGCTAAGCATGCATCATGTTGAATGAAGAGTGAAGACTGGTCTGCTTAATGTGTCTGATATATTTGTGAGTAAGCTGACATGTTGTTCCATGGAATTTTACAGTGTGATTGAAAATGTTTCAAGTCAAGTACAAAAAAGGGAAACATAAATATATCTCATCAAAAATTTTCTGGATTATTGTTATTAGATGCTACTTACAGCACTATATTGTTGCGGCCAGTTTTTATTCGTAGAGAACGCCAGAATGCCTGGACAGAACCATCGACCTTTGCAGGAAAACTGGCAATCCTAGTCAATTAAAATCGTAGTCAAAAGCACCTGCTAAATGCGGGTTTGAACTCACAACCTCAGCATTGACAGGTTAGTGATTGCTGTAGATGAACTACTTAGACAACCCAGCCACCAAGGCCCAGAATAATCGTGGAATATTTCACTGAATATCAAACATAAATGCATCAATTTGTACAGGAGATCATAATAGAACCACTGTTGCGAAAACATACTTCAAAAGACAATCACAATAATCTTAAAATAAACATTACCTGTAATTTTATAGATAATATGATATATGTTGCTAAAAGAAATGTTTCATGGTATAACCAACAATAAGACAGATGAGCATAATAGGTGATCTGACAAGGACAGAAAGGGCATATAATACGGTTATCTTAACGAGTTCCAAAATTAGTGCATAAAATATGTATATAAGCTCATAGCCAGATCATATATTTGAATACACCCTTTATGCTTTATCATTCATATACAAAGTGAAGTCATAGATTTCCATTTTACTTTCTTTCAGGTTAACATATCTATGTTGGTGAGATATATATTCCAGTTGGTTGGGTCCTTAGGTTTTATGTTTTACCTGAATGCTGCCTTGACAGGTGTATTGTTAGCTGTTGTTCCTTTTGTTTCTATTTCAGCTGTGAGATATGGTAAGATCTATATTTTATAATTGTTGTGTATAGAAAATGTATTTATCTATCATTACTGTACTGTATTTTATTTTTGTGGATCAACAAAAATTGGTATTTTGTCAGATATTTGATTTCATGGCTAATAAACATAATCTGCAAACAAGCCTTTGGAAATTTTTATTTTGTGGTTATCCCTTAACCTAGAAATCAATAGAAATAAGTATCCCACAAATAAAATGAATCCATAGAAATAAGTATACTACAAATTAAATGAATCCACAGAAAATCCTGCTACTTACATTGAATAGTACAACTTGTACAAGATTTTTTAGTAGTTTAAGATGTAGAGTTGGTGGCCAATATTCATCGTGGACATATTTTTGCTTTTATAAGATTTTCCTCTGGAAAAGTAGCGTGCTTTTTCCTGTCGCACAATATGATCTTTACCGTACATAAAACAATTATGAATCGGTAAATTCATCTTCAAAAAGTTGAGACATATACACAGCATGTCGATCTGAAAAAAATTATGTTGTAGACTGTATTATGTCGAAGCAACGACCCAAAATAAAAAGGACCGATATTGGATGATTAGGGGAGATAATTCTACCTCTAAAATAAGTCAAGTGTATCAGTATATAAAATTTACTTGTACAGGTATACTGTCTGACTTATACAGAAAAATCAAAATTTGATAGAAATAAATAAAAGACTAATGATTTAGATGTAAGCTGGTCATATTAATTATGAAAAGGATTGAAATATTTATTGAACAATGGTGTTATAAATATATACATATATATATGTTTCTTTTAGGAAAATTTGTGCAGAAAATGCAGAAGAAATTTCAGGATAAGTTAGGAGATGCAGGAACTGTTGCCGAGGAGACGTTGTCAAGTGTCAGGACAGTAAGGTCATTTTCTGGAGAACCAAAAACTGTAAACAACTATGGAAAAGAAATTGATGAAAGTTACGATATTGGCAAGAAACTTGCATTAGCTTCAGGTAGGATTGATATGTTATCTAAAATTAACTCAGGGATAGTTTTGTTTTGCATGAGTTCATACTGAAGATAAAGAGATCTTTGAAAATGTAAGATTTTTTTGTATAGGAGGGAATGAGGATTTAATCAATGTCTGTATTTGATCAGTTGATGTCTAAAACTGAAGGTCAAAATAGTCTTCTGTTTTGGGGGGGGGGGGGGGGGGGGAAATGTCTTATGATTGTTTTTGTTTATTTACCGATCTTGTTTTAAATGAATCTTAATCATAAATATTCATGGTTTTGAATTGATCTTGGTGGTTTACATGCATCTCATTGTGAATTTTCCCTTAATATTTTTTTTACTATTAAAAAATACCTTCGTGTTGACCCAATCTGATGAACATATTACTTTATCAGAATATATAATGTTATTTTACAGGTGGTTTCCAAGGTCTGATTGGTTTATTGGCACAGGGTGCTATAGCTTTATGTTTGTGGTATGGTGGTAAACTGGTCTACGATGAAGCACATGGTAAACATACAGGACTGACTCCTGGTGTGCTAACATGTAAGTACTTACACTTACTTTTAATAACTTATAAGTTGAATAGGTATTTCTTACACCAACTCCGGGTGTGTTTACATGTAAGCTAGGTGAAAAGGTGTTTCTCTACTCAAAATTACATACATTAATTCTTAGTTTACTTATGTGTAAGATAGATGAAAAAAGTAATTCTTACATAAAATTACATACACAACTGACTTCTGCTGTACTGACCTGTCAATTATATGGAAAGGGTATTTTTTACACATTTTTAAACACATAAACATGAATATCTGACTCCTGGTGTACTAATAAGTAAATTAGTCTGAAAAGGTCATATCATTTACTAGCATTCCTGATGAAGGTAACCCCAGAAAAGCGCATCGAACACATGAAATTTATGTTGTTTTCAATTTTTTTTACAAAATTTTTCAAAGATTGATCACCAGGTTCAAGCTTTATGTATTCATACATTCATGGAATGTAGATTAAGTTAATATAAGTCTGACATTCTCTTTAAATACCAGTGGCATTATCTTTCAACCATTGACTAGATGCTCTTTGATTTTTCAGCATTTCTGTTGTACACTTTGCAAGTAGCCATGGCCTTTGCTCTGATGTCCTCGTTGTATGGAGATTTCATGTCAGTAAGTATTGTCGCATGGAAAGATTTTCATAAACATTTCAGGATAATAGAGAGACATACTTAAAGCTATGGAAAAGATTTTAAGGAATACAGACCATTTAGTTTATAAAATAGTGTGTGGAGTATTCAAATAATTACAACACACTCCATTCATATATGATATTAAAATGAGGAGTTGTGTTATAATATCCAGTAAGACAACAAACTACATGTCACCATTAATCCTTCAACAATGAGCAAAACCAACAAAAGTTTAGCGAGCTATAAAAGTCCCCAAATCTGATACAGATCTCCAGAATAACTGTGTCTGCATGATAACTAAAAAAACAATCAAAAACCCAATCCATTTGATAATTTCAGCATTCAAAAACCAAATTCATGTAATAGTGAACACAATTATATGTCAAAACTATGTGTTCCAACCCTTCTAGTCACTGTTGAGTGTGTTATTTACAGAGATTGTTGCCACATAATCAATCTTTGTTGCCACATAATCAATCTTTTTTTGTAATTTTAGGAAATCTACTTTCGTTCTAAAATTAGATTATCCAATCAAATTACTGATCTGGGTTGATATTTTTAAATCACTTGATCCTTGCTTAAAATTATTGTATTCTCTGTACATAAAAGAGACCATCTAATAAAAACCACAAGAGAATTGGTGAAAAGATAAAAGGTTTATGTTTAAAAAAAGTTAGCAAAATGTATACCATAAAGTACTACAGTTGGTTCATAGACTTTTGTCTTGCAGGCCTTAGGAGCATCAACAAGAATATTTGGTTTGTTAGAAAGGACACCTGGTATTCAAAATGTAAATGGATTGGTACCTGCACAACTGACTGGAAGTAAGTGATTTTTATATTCTGACTTTCTAATTAATAAACAAGTCCCTACTTACCGCATTTTTGCGCCTGTCCCAAGTCAGGAGCCTTCTGGCCTTTGTTAGTCTTGTATGTTTTTTTAATTTTAGTTCCTTTATATGTTTTGGAGTTTAGTGTGACGTCAAATTTCACTGAACCAGCTGAGGATCACCTCCGGGTGTGGGATTTTCTCGCTGCGTTGAAGACCCATTGGTGGCCTTCGGCTGTTGTCTGCTCTTTGGTCGGGTTGCTGTCTCTTTGACATATTCCCCATTTCCATTCTCAATTTTTTAGTACAGTGTAACATATCAATTCTTTCTCAGGCAAATAACTACCAGATTTTTCCATGGAAAGTGGAATTACAGCAGAAACCATTCATGTGTTTATCAATGTAACTTGTAACAAGGCCTTAAATTTGATCAAGAGCTTTTATCACATTATTTAGAAGGTCTTCTGATAGAAATCCCGTTTTTTATTTGTGTTTGTACAACTGGTTGTAGGGCTGGTTGCTCCGGTTGTTTCCTTGCTATAACTTATGGCCCGTTTAACCAATGCTTTTCAAATTTTAATATGTTGTTGGTGATGACAAAATTGAGGTACTAGAAATTTTTACTCTGCCATTTAGGAGTTAAGGTCGCTAACTGATTGGAAAATAGTACTTTACATCAATCTGTTCAATAACTTGAGAAATGTATGACCAATGCTTTTCAAATTTGATTAATTTGTTACAAATATCAAAATTGAGATCAAGAGACAAACCAGTGTAAATCAGAAGATTTTATTTAAAAATAATCTGAGATCTGCCTCCACAGTTTTGATTTAAATTTATGTCCCTTGGCACATTCAGGTTGTGGGGTATATTATCATGCCACAATGACACCTTGTGACCTCAACTCCTTTTAGTCAGAAAATTCTCATACTTGTTAGGAGTGTTTGCCATCATGTGTAGTTGTCCATATTATACAGTCATTATGATTTGACAATTTTTAGGGGTAAGATGTGGATCAATTTCTACTATTTCCTTAACATAATATCAATTAAACAAACTCGATCCGGTAATTGAAAATAAAGAGCTTTTAGTAAAGATTTTAAGTGAGCATATAGCCAGTCTAAAACCCAAGTTATTTTCTTAAGTGTTTAAATAGTCTTATTAAGTCATTTCAATGTAAAAAAAAATGTTTTTCTGGTACAAATCACAATGTATTGTTATGTGTGTATACATGCCATACATGTCATACTGCCCATCAAGGGCACTTGGTTGGAATAATAGATAAATATTCTTTCTATAATCTAGTAGCTTTTAAAATGAGTTACTTAAATATCTATATGTATATGTTTTTTAGGAGTTCAGTTCAAGAATGTTTGTTTTACATATCCTTCTAGACCAGAATCAGAGGTTCTAAAGGTAAGCATCTATTAATATTCCGCAGAAGTACACGAGTCATCCCTGTTTTATGTTCTCTCAAATTCAGATAAATCATGTGGACATTGTTGTAATTTACAGAGTAAAGTACTGAGTTGTCTACTCAGCCATGATCAAATATTCGGATTATAAAAGTTCACACATTTCAACTTTAGATTCTGATTTATATTTGAATGCAACTTCCTCATGACATAGGAATTCAAAAAGTTTTAAGATTAAATTTTACACTACTTTCTATTATTCTATATGCATTTAAACTGGTTCTGACCAATTTCGATAATTTTTGATTCACCACACTTTGATTAAATTTGTTGTTTGTATTTTCTCACCATATCTTTTCAGAATATTGTACTTGGCAATCTACTTTAAATCAATAGAGAAACAGGATCTACCACTTAACCCAATTTGATCACAATATTTATCCTCTCTCAAAAGTTTCCCTAACTATTTATTTGGCTACATTTAAGAGATAACTGTATTGTATTTGAAGCTTTGCGGACGTCCATCGGTAGTTTTACTGTCGCAAATTTAGTTTACCTGGCGACGTGTAGCAGAGACAGGTAAACGGGTATTTGCGACAGTAAAACTACCGATGGACGTCCGCAAAGCTTCAAATACAATACAGTTATCTCTATTCTAATGCAAAACAAGTACATAATTCAATTTCAATCAATATTTCAGTGTAAAATTCTCATTAAAGAAAATTTGCGAAAAGATGTTATCTTCTTTGGCCCCAAAACTAGGTGACTTCATAGGTATGCTTCCGGCGTCAAACGTAAACACCGGGCGTTTTCTGGCTTCTTGGCCGCTTCAGAATGTAATAGAATTTGATAAAAAGATTTCTAGGTGCAACATGTGAGTTTTTTTGCAATTCCGCAATTCAAAATGTCGGCCTCCTTAGTTGCAGACAAGGAGATAGAGAATTTTACGCTTACTGTCATCCAATCAGAACCATTGATACAAAATAATTGCATTAGAATTCGTAATAAATCAGGTGGTTTGGTAAAATCTGTATTTCTATCGACACCCCTTAACATTTTGCTGTCTATTTCTAGAGTATATGCTTCACAGTAGAACCAGGAGAAATGGTAGCTTTAGTTGGACCATCAGGGGGAGGTAAATCTACCATTGTCAACATGATTGAGAGATTTTATGATCCTAGTGAAGGAACAATATACTTAGGTATGTAGAAACATTTTAATTAACTTTACACATATATATACAGTGAAAATATAATTGGAGTTTTTTAAGATATTCACATATTGACAATTCATTATTTTTATTTAAAATGACGGCTCAGGAAATATAAAACACAGACAGGGAATACAAGTCTGTATCTACTGTGAAGATCCTGAATAACCATGCCATTTTACTTCTTCTATAAATACAATATTCATTTTTATGTCTCTTGCAACATAACTATCTTTGTCCAATGGATACATTCTCCATTTATTTTATTTTATGCCCATTCAAGCACAATGTATCAACAAAATTTATAAGATGACATCCATTGTATATTCTTTACTTTATTGAAAAGGGTATTAATCTGATCATCTAAGATTAGTAAAACTTAAACAAAAATATGCAATGCTATTTATTTAGATGACTATGACTTGAAAGAATTAGATCCTCAGTGGTTTAGGAAGAAGATATCTATGGTCAGCCAGGAACCAACGTTATTTGCCTGCTCCATTAAAGAAAACATTGCCTTTGGTGTCAATGCTGATATCAGTGAGGTATGTGGAATACATTTTGTAATAATTTGTTTATTTGTAGGAGAAAACCTCACTAATGGAGTGCTATGACACTTCTATATAGAAATATTTATTGACCTGTTTGATCAGTATATACAATGTATCAGCAGATCTAGGGTTGAGGAAAATAGGGGTGTAATTTTGTAATTATACCCCCGGTTTAAAAAAGTGGGGGTATACTGTTTTACCTCTGTCTGTCTGTCTGTTTGTCCATACACGATTTTATGTCCAATAAAGAGCTGTGCCATGTGCTCCTGATACGCCCATCGCTTTTTCAATCAATCAAGATCCATAATGAGTTATTTTCCAAAAACTGGAAATTCCACCCATTTTTATGAATAAAATCCCATAACTAGGAAACGTATAATCTAAAATTTATAAAAATGGAAGGGAGCTTACATCAATAAATATAAACAAATCACCAAAGTTTTCTGAAATTTTGTTAAAGCATTTTTGAGTTATTGTCCAACATTTTGACAATGGACAGACGGATAGAAGGACAGATGGACAGACAATGGTACACTGTAAACAGATGTAAAAAAATGAAGTTAATTTCCTATCAAAAAAGGGGGGGCATAAGCCCTCAGTACAGTCCACCTGAATCCGCAACTAACGACACCCCTTTTTTTTTTGTCAGTAACTTATACAATTATATGCTATGGTACGTTTATCCTTTCTTTTTTTGCCAACATTATCTTTGAAACTCATTTGTAGATGATTATTTTTATTTCTTCACATTTTTATACGACCGCAAAAAAATTTGTGGTCGTATATTGGTATGACGTTGGCGTCGTCGTCGTCGTCCGAAGACACATTGGTTTTCGCACTCTAACTTATGTTTAAGTGAATGGATCTCTATGAAATTTTACCATAAGGTTCAATACCACAAAAGGAAGGTTGGGATTGATTTTGGGGGTTATGGTACCAACAGTTAAGGAATTAGGGGCCAAAAAGGGGCCAAAAATAAGCATTTTTGTAACTTCCAGACATAACTTGTGTGTTAGTGTATGGATCTCTCTGACATTGTACCACAAGGTTCCATATCACAAAGGGAATGCTGGGATTGATTTTGGGGGTAATTGCCTCAAAATTTTAGGAATTAGGGGCTAAAAAAGGGGCAAAAAACAAGCATTTTTCTAGTTTCATGACAAAAACTTGTGTGTAAGTCTATAGATCTTTCTGAAATTGTACTACAAGGTTCCATATCTCAAAGGGAAAGCTGGAATTGAGTTTGGGGGTAATTGCCCAAAACGTTTAGGAATAAGGGGCCAAAAAGGGGCCAAAAATAAGCATTTTTCTAGTTTCCAGACAATAACTTGTGTTCAAGTGTATGGATCTCTCTGAAATTGTACTGCAAGGTTCCATATCACAAAGGGAATGTTTGGATTGATTTTGGGGGTAATTGTCTCAAAATTTTACGAATTAGGGGCCAAAAAAGGGGCAAAAAAAAGCATTTTTCTAGTTTCATGACAATAACTTGTGTGTAAGTCTATGGATCTTTCTGAAATTGTACCACTAGGTTCCATATCACAAAGGGAAAGCTGGAATTGAGTTTGGGGGTAATTGCCCAAAACGTTTAAGAATAAGGGGCCAAAAGGGGGCCAAAAATAAGCATGTTTCTAGTTTCCAGACAATAACTTGTGTTCAAGTGTATGGATCTCTCTGAAATTATACTGCAAGGTACCATACCACAAAGGGAAGGCTGGGATTGATTTTGGGGGTAATTGCCTCAAAATTTTAGAAATAAGGGGCCAAAAAGGGGCAAAAAACAAGCATGTTTCTAGTTTCAGGACAATAACTTGTGTGTAAGTGTATGGATCTTTATGAAATTGTACTACAAGGTTCCATATCACAAAGGGAAAGCTGGGTTTGAGATTGGGGGTAATTGTCCTAAATGTTTAGGAATATGGGGCCAAAAAGGGGACAAAAAACAAGCATTTTTCTAGTTTCCAGACAATAACTTGTGTTCAAGTGTATGGATCTCTATGAAATTGTACTGCAAGGTACCAAACCACAAAGGGAAGGCTGGGATTGAGTTCAGGGGTGATGAATCATAAGGGGGTTCAAAAAATTTTGGGGGGGGGGATTTTTTTTTTCTTTAAAATTTTCCATTTTAAATTGGTTATTTCTGATTTATATATAAAAGCAAATAATAATGATATGGTTTGAATAGGTAAATTAAAAAATTTAAGTTCTTAGACTACATTCATTCTGTGTCAGAAACCTGTGCTGTGTCAAATATTTAATCACAATCCAAATTCAGTGCTGTATCAAGCTTGAATGTTGTGTCCATACTTGCCCGAACAGTTCAGGGTTCGACCTCTGCGGTCGTATCAAGCTGCGCCCAGCGGAGCATTTTATTCAATTTTTAATAGAAAAGATAGTAGGACTACCTTCACCACCTGGTGTTTAATATTATGAACATATTTGAATCACCATTCAATACTGTTAATTCAGAAATTTGTGTATGTGTTTATTATTTGGACTGTTGAAAAATCTACACAAATGTGAGATTGATTAATGCAATTTCAGGAAACGTTGCATACAAACGATGCTATCAAAATTTAAAATGCACATTTTTATTTATTTTTTTTACACCTATTCTTTAGCAATTTTGCCATAATAGAAACTTAACAAATATTTCTTAATTACGGTATGTTGAAATTGTCATTCAATGGTTGTTTTTGTTGATGTGAGAAATTTGTGCTTTAATATTGACGAATTGTATTAAATAATGATTTATTATTTAGGTAGAAGCAGCTGCTAAGCAGGCTAATGCCCACGAGTTTATACAGACATTTGAGAAGGGCTATGATACCTTGGTAGGAGAGAGAGGTGTCAGGTTGTCAGGGGGACAGAAACAAAGAATTGCCATAGCTAGAGCACTTATTATGAATCCTAAACTTCTTCTGTTAGACGAGGTATGGAATAAGTTATTGTTGTTAACTGAGGACAGGGTGCATTAATAGCATTTTTTGTAACAAATAAATCAATATATAAATAACACATAGCTGAGAGGGTGATATAGCAGTTTATTACCCCGAGAAAACATTGTCAACTGAGGGAAGCCAAGGTCGACAAGGTCTTTTTAAGGGTAACAATCTGCTTTTATCACCCTCTTAGATATGTGTTATTAAATTTATTATACTGAATGTCCTGTTATTACTGTCTATTAAATTTCAAATTCAAAGTAATAAACTGACGTCTTGTACATACCAACCATCTGTATTTAATAAAGCACACACTTGATCAAGCGTCTTTGTAAAGAGTAATAGAGTATTTGCCATGGGATAGAGTAAATTATTTCCCTCCTAGTAACCAATCAAAATCTAGCATTTTGACATGAAGTATAATAATAAAAAAAAAAAAATGATGAGTACTACTGTTACTTTACCACATAACAAAAAGTTGTTTTTGGCATGTTAGTTTGCATCATAAGGGCCTTACTTATAATTTTGAGATGTTTACACCAATCTTTATTGCATCACTTTTAAATCTTTTTTATAGCATGCATGTTTCTGTTTATACCATAGGCTACCAGTGCATTAGATGCTGAAAGTGAACATTTAGTACAAGAAGCTATAGACAGAGCTATGAAGAGTAGAACAGTTATTGTTATAGCACATAGATTATCTACAGTCAGGAATGCTTCTAAGGTAAAGGCAGTATAGCAGTCAATATACAGTTTAAAAAAAAGGTTTTTACCAGATCCATTTTTGTCGAGCCTGGGACTTTTGTCACAAAAGCGAGACATAGCTATCCTACATTCTGTTGTCCGTGTCGTCGTTTGTGGCGGCGGTGGCGGCGTCCACAAATATTCACCCTATGGTTCAAGTTTTTGAAATTTTAATAACTTTCTTAAACTATCCTGGATTTCTACCAAACTTGGACAGAAGCTTGTTTATGATCATAAGATAGTATCCAGAAGGAAATTTTGTAAAATAAAAACCTGTTTATCCGTATTTTACTTTTAAATGGACTTAGTTTTTCTGCCAGTTAACATTACATTCACTCTTTGGTTAAAGTTTTTAAAATTTTATTAACTTTCTCAAACTATCCTGGATTTCTACCAAACTTGGACAGAAGCTTGTTTATGATCATAAGATAGTATCCAGAAGGAAATTTTGTAAAAATCTATTTCCTGTTTTTCCGTATTTTACTTATAAATGGACTTAGTTTGGCTGCCAGTTAACATTACATTCACTCTTTGGTTAAAGTTTTAAAATTTTAATAACTTTCTTAAACTATCTTGGATTTGTATCAAACTTGGACAGAAGCTTGTTTATGATCAAAAGCTAGTATCTAGAAGGAAATTTTGTAAAACTTTATTTCCTGTTTTTCCATATATTACTTATAAATGGACTTAGTTTTTCTTTCAGTTAACATTACATACAGTCTGCAGTTAAAGTTTTTAAAACATTTATTAGATTCATAAACCATCCTGGATTTTTACCAATAAAATTGAGAATGGAAATGGGGAATGTGTCAAAGAGACAACAACCCGACTATAGAACAGACAACAGCAGACTTGGACAGAAGCTTCTTACAATCAAAAGATAGTATCTAGAGGAAAATTTTTAATAATTTTTTCCCCATTTTTGTTGAGCCTGCGACTAACATCAAAAGTAGGCAAGGCACTGGGTTCAGTGGAACCCTTACAAATTTTTATACTATTTTTCTATCCAACATCATTTTCAAGATTTAGAACCAGCTGTGATGTCACTGCAATATTGATTTTAGTTCTTTTAATTTCAATTGTGACTGATTTCTAAATCATAGAGGATTGGATGAATTAATGGGTGTTTAATCTTCAGTGAGCAATCTTCTTAGTTTAGTCAGCCAAAAAACACATTTTTAAAATGCAATATAACTATGAACTTTGCATTGCATTAGTGCAGATTTTTAATGTGTTAAATTACAAGGGTCCTTATGAAGAAATCATTCCTGACATGTGTATATTATTCTAAATCAAAACCGTCCTGGCCTTTTCATTTACTCCTGTCAGCTACATTCAATTCTCTTATTTATCATCCCCTTTTGAAACACACTTATTTCATGCATATTTGACAGGAAGAAATTTGATATTAGAACTTTTTTTTTATTTCAGGACATGTTAAATTCCCTTTATTAAATATATACTGATAGTTATACATGAGCAAACACATTCAAATAGTTTTAGTTTCATACAACAATAGTTCACATTATATTTATTTATATACTTTTTAGGTAATAGTAATAGACAAAGGCAGTATTGCAGAGAATGGAACACACGATGAACTGATCGCTAAAGGTGGTGTCTATAAGAAGCTTGTATTACGACAGTTAACAGCTGGTTCTAGGTCAGAGCCTATCAATGACACAAATGAAGACAGCAGTTGATGAAAAATGAACTTATGATTGTTATTTGTTTTTAATTAACATGTTTTTTTTAAGTATTAGTGTGCCAGGAAAGTCTAAATTAGCCAAGAACTTTAATCATATCATGACTTAAAAAAACATTTAAACATTAAATTATATGTATTTAAATACAGGAAGAAAAATTGGCATGGGTAACACTACATGCCCTGGCCACCAAAAAGGCATGAAAAAAAAAACACTTCTCTAAATCCTTTAATAATATGAATGGCGTCATAAAGAAGACATGTAGAAGAATGAAATTATCAGTTCAAAGATTTTATAGAAAGTTTAAGTTGTTACCTATATATATATATGTCTGTGCTGGATTCAAATTGGGGTGTAGAGATTGGCAAAATAATATTTTTTGGCATGGAGTTGTCATAAAAAATTTTGCCTCGCTATGCTCGCCACTATTTTCACTTTTTATGTCTCCTTTCCTCAAACTCCGGATTAGCTCCTGTATACAGCCATGTAATCCTAAGTGAATTATGAATTGATAGATACATATCACATAATTTCGAAAATGTTGGAAGGGTTATTGTTTAAATATAGATTTTCATTATTTATTTTTAATTTGATTTAATCCTTAGTTATTGTAAAGTTTTAATCATTAATGTGTTGTCAATTGTTTTAAAATGAAAAAAGCATCCATCACAGGTTATTTTAAAAAATCATGACATATTTAATTTATAAACTTTTAAACTGGAATGCATTAGGATTATTTTTATTAATAACTGTGTGTGAAATAGTGTATTATATGTATTTGGTGTGTAAAATCATGCACAATATTTCTTGTAAAGGCATATTAAGATACACATTGTACTAGATATATAAAACACATATAAAGTATACACTTATTTTTTTAAAGGTACTAGTATCTAAAAGGTCATAATTCTTTCTTTGTGATTTTGTTTATACACTGTTGCAACAAACTCCCTTTTATATGGTCACACCTTGAGCAGAAAAAATGCTTTTGTCTTTAATCATCTTTAACGTATAGTAGGAGTCGATTCATGTCTGGGTTTGGATTTGAAGAAATTTGTCTCTTATGAACACTTTAGCGTAACAAATAAGAGGAATAACTTCTTAAGAAGAAAGCCTTATTTAAAGAGGGGTTATTGTAGTAGGGATAATTATTTGAATTTTTACAAGTGCATCATGGGTTTTAAAGGATCATTTGCATCCAATGTGAGTTGACAAACTGCTGTCCAGGATGCCCCTTGTTCAACATGTTCAAGGTGTTTTGTGCAACATTTTCATTTTGTTCTGTATAAAAGATCAAATTAGTTTTTGCTCATCGTTTAAGGAAAGATTCTATTGTATGATCTCTTATGTGCACATATCCTACTTTTATGTTGTGAAGCAATGTTGTTTACATTAGACAATCTAGTTTTTATACACGGGCATTGTTTTTAAATATATTTTCCATATAAGAATCATGCAAAAGGTAATTAATGGGTGGAAAGCCTACACATGATTTCTTTTATACATGCATTTTTATGTAGGATATAAAAGTACATGTATGTTGAAATTCATGTATGGGTGTTGCTCATTGTTGAAGACTGTAAGGTGACCTATAATTGCTTAAATCCATGTTATTGAACTCTATTTGATAATTGTCTTGTTGGCAATCATACCACATTTTCTTATTTTATGTATATTATTTTTATACAGACTCTTTGCCAGGTGAGGTATAATTTCTATAGAATGCATTATAAAACTCATGCTGAGGGAGATAACTCCAATAATATCCTATATAATCTATTGTAAAATGTTATCAACTGTTAGTCCTAGTAAGGCAGTAAATGGAAGATATTACTCATTCCATTAATCAGCATCCATCTTGCAACTGATGGACAAAAAATAGACATTTGTAGCCTTCATGCCATATATCATAAAATTTCCATTTTGCATGATTCTTATATGTACTACTTCTTAAGTAAAACAGCCAGTATCTTAATTCTGTGATAATATCTATTGTTTTTAGTTTTGTTGTAAAATATTAAAAATGATACATCACAAAACTTTGTATTACTTTATGCTATTAACAGAGTTGTGTGGAGAGCTTTTTAATTTCAAAAATATCTTCTTTACAAGCAATTTTTGTCATTTCCAGGGATGCATCATGAGAAGTGATCAACCATAACAATTTAAATTATAATAAATGAATTTCAAAAACTGTCAAACATAGAAGAATTTTACAATCTTTTGCTCGAGTGTGTATTTCAATTTAAATAGCTTTGGAAAATATGATTAAAAGATAATTCCAAATTATTTATTAAGTAAATTTGAAGTATTAAAAACATAATATCCAGTGTCAGGTATAACATACATTTCCAGGTTGTTTTCATGTAAATGTCTAGATAACAATGCCATTCTTTGTATTGGACTTGCATGCCCAGTCAAAGTGCTAGCTTATAAGAAAATATAATAATATCTTATAAGATAAGATAATAGTCCACCGTACATTTAGATATTATTCTGACTCCCAGCTTACAAGTCTGCTCTTTAATTTCTCACCAGAAAGGAAATGGTTTTTGGTGAGGTTTGTGTTGCTCACTCTTTACACTATGTTGTGTTTTGTATACTGTTGTTTGTCTTATGGTAATTTTTCGTTTTTTGCCCTGGCATTGTCAGTTTGTTTTTGACTTATGAGTTTGATTATCTCCTAGGTATCTTTTGCCTTTCTTTCATGAAATTTTTTATTGTTATGTAGTTAATTCATGTCATTGATACCTATGGGATTTTAATCATTTGCTAACATTCAGAAATGGGATTTTAATCATTTGCTAACATTCAGAAAAAGAAGACAAGTTTCTTGATACTTTTAATTCCTATAACAATTATAATAAATTTAAAACAACAACATATGGTAAATAGAAATATAATAAACTCTATTAAAAATTTGGTTCATTATTAAAGTATATTATTTCATGACAATTAAGTAGCTTCTAAATATATAGTATTATAAAACAACATCAATACAAAATAACACAGGTTGTTTATACATACACACTATAGCTGACTATAGTCAAGGTTTTGCTCATTGTTGAAGGCCATACAGAGACCTGTAGTTGCTTACATGCACATCACATGGATTTGGTGAATAGTTGTCAATAAAGAATAATTTGTATTAAATATAATAAATATAATACAATGCAATGCAATAAAGCCCAAATTTAGACTAGACAACAAAACTACTATTATGGAAATGAACGTCTCTTGAAATAGGCATAATGGAAAAGTGGGGACCTAATTGACCATAAGCAGTCTGTTATGTTCAATAAAAATCTTAAAACAAAATAACAATAAACATAAAAAATATCACAGCATATTAATTTGGTATAATAAAGCCTCATGAACAGTGAAAAAGTTTAAAACTCTATCCTGATGTGCCATCTAAGGTTATTGTTGGAGAAATCAAGAAATTTACAAATATTTCAATAATATAAATATAAAAAAATATATTTTAATAGCTTTAGAATCAGTAGCCCTTTCTAGTCAATCTTGCAGAGTTTTATTTTTGCTTTTTCCAACCCTTTTTTTGTATATTATCTACGAGCTAAGAGAAGATACAAGTTTTACACATTCACCATGATTTATATTAATTTTTTTAATAAATTCTACCAGGGCAAAAATTGGTTGGTTTACTGTATATAAATGATATAAATGTATATTAACTTTAAATATGATATTCCTGTCTGTGTCACTAAACAAATTAGTTTTCATTAAGTATGTAATCACATTAAGGTTGATACAGTGTATCAATTATACAACACAAAGATAGTTCATGGAGGGTGTTGATACAGTGTATCAATTATACAACACAAAGATAGTTCATGGAGGGTGTTGATACAGTGTATCAATTATACAACACAAAGATGGTTCATGGAGGGTGTTGATACAGTGTATCAATTATACAACACAAATATAGTTCATGGAGGGTGTTAATACAATGTATCAATTATACAACACAAAGATAGTTCATGGAGGGTGTTGATAGAATGTATCAATTATACAACACAAAGAAAGGTGATGGAGGGTATAAATGTTTTGACCCATCTGTTCGTCTGTCTCACTTTGTTGTCTCCTTGATTACACATTGATATTTGGATGAAAAAAAAAAGTAAATTTTAATAAGGGATTAATCATACCAAAACAAATAAATTGATAATATGCTGCTGAGAAAAGTATAAATTGGGCAATCCAACAAAAGTTGCAGAAAGGATAAAATAATTTGTCTGATGATAAAGCTATGTTTGTAACATCTTGTAGTAAAGCATAATAAAAATAAAATTTCATATTCTCTAATTTGGTACAGAGTTGAGATTTATCTCTCTAAAAAAAAATTAATGACTAAAGCAAAAATTTTATGAAGGCTACTTCCCCACTTTGGATAATTTAATGGTAAACTCCTTGAAAAAAAAAGAAATAATGAAAAAGTGAGAATAAAACTTTTCCAATCTTGCAAATATTTTCATACAAAATTAAAAATACACATAACAAAATATCACAGTCATATATAAGTTTGGTACAAAGTAATGTTAAACATCAGCTATTATGTACCAAGGGATGAAATCTGGTAGCCCTTTGTAGGCATAAAAAGAGTTACCTCTTTATGTCATCGTCTGCGATTAAACTTGAATATTGTGAGGGTATGAATATGACAAAAAAATATAAGAGGTCTATATTGCATAGAAATTAAATTATAAATATAGATATCATTAGAAGCTCTTGTATAATAGATCAAAATAATGGACTATGCTATCATATGATGCATGATGGTCTGGATTGGGTTTACAGAATAGAGAATAATGGGCCAAAACAATAACAAAAAATATAAGGAATCGAGAATAATGGGGTGCTAAAATATTTAGAATAGAGAAAAATGGCATAAAAAAATAAAGAATACAGAAATGAAGGACCCCCTTTCCAGATCCTCATGTACTGCAGGCATGTATTTCCCTGTCCTGGGTTGCCCCTCCTCTGAGATCGTGTGACAAAAGTGAAAAATGTATATACTATGAAGGTCATAACATGTTTTGTCAAATTACAATACTTAACTTTATAACAATGAAATATTCTAGCAAACATATCGTATGCATTGCTATTCATGTTCCAGTAAGTTTTTTCTAAGTATATCTTGTTCTTCTTCACTGAATCCAATGGAGACTAAATAATCTTTTACTGAACCATACCTGGAATTGTTCAACTCAACAGTAATAATATAGAGGAGTATTTAGAAGGAGGTGCCTTATATTCAGTATCATTAAAATATCGACATATAATATTTTAAAATATTCAATATCCCCAAAACAATTTTGAGTACAGCAAATATCCCTTAAGTTTCAAAATGGGATATAGTCATGCTTAGACATTGGGAAAGATTTAAGCGCATAAACATATTATGAACAAAATATTTTGATTCCTTGGGTATAAAATATCCTTGTAAATAACAGCAGACAAAAAATTCTCCAGGATAAGATTTCTCTGACGTAAAATTGATTGGGGCAATGTAATATTTCTTTGTCAGTCATATGATGACTTTCAATAACACTTATTAAAATTAAGGTCTACATTGTCATTGTTGTAATAACATTGTTACATAAGTCAAGAAACTAATGTCATTGTGGTATAAGTTATTTTCATTATTAGATGTATGATTATTCTACTGCATCATGGATTTAATGATAACGAAACCAATTTAAAGTTATGAAAACCAGAGATATATATATAATTCTCGGTGAAAACTTACGTTTTATTTAAGTATTTTAACAACATTCTCATGTTCTCTGGATTTGCATCACAGAACGATTTATCCCAGTAATATCTTTCAACAACCTCCTTAAATACTCGATCTCTGATTGGTAGAAGTCCTTCCTAAAGAATCAGAATGCAACATTACAAAGTTAACCATTAAAGTATATCAATCAGATGACATGGTATGGGGACACCGTTTAATGCACGATTGTATACGTTTATTTCATTAACAATAATTTCGGACATATAGTTCTTCACTGCACAAATTTCATTGGAGGCAGTTTTCCTGTCATCCTCTTGCACAAAGAGATATGTAAGATTATTCTGTAAGAAGTCGTTTGCTACATGCCTTATTTAAGGTGTGGTCTTATGAATCTTGGGTACATGTCAAAATGCATATGCTGTGTATTTATATTACTTTAACATTTTTCATGCTTGGAAATTCGTAATTGAATACTGAAATTTTGCATACATCGACGCTGGTCTATTATAAATATTACATTATTTGTTTGAAAGATTTATTGTACAGTAGTAATATCTGCGTATGGCCAAGATCGGCTGAAATTCATAATTTTTATCGTCCTGAACATGCATCATTGCATGAAATATTTGCCACTGGATGTTAAGCAACCAACAATCAATCAAACATAGTTTTCATATCATTCTCGCATGAAATGAATCCAAACCTCCATTCAACGTATGTATCACTTACGAATTGCACATTTTCTTTTGCAATGACTAATTTTACGTCTCCCAGTCGAGTCTGCTTGTTAATGAATCAAGAAAGTTAAATTACTAATATATAGTCATATTTAAGCATGTACCTGTGATAGAGCATAATCTGTTATGATGTTTTCCTCAGTTTCTCCTAACACAGATAAAACTAATGCTGACAAAATACCCGTTCTGTCTTTGCCATGCGCACAGTTGATCATCGCAGGCATGTTATTTTTATCCGTTAAAAGTTTAAGTCCTGGAACATTTGAAAAACAACACCTTACAATTTCAGTTTGAATGACATAAATATGAATAAAAAGATATATAGGGTTGCAAACATAAATGATACTGCAACCAACAACACAATGTAACCATGTGTGTTCGATCCCCGGCTCCGCCAAAACCCGAGACTTTTAGAGTCAAAATAATGTGTCAGGGTAGGCTGGCATGTCTTTCTGTGGACTGTTATCTTGTGAGCAAGCACTTTAAAATATCTGACTAATCGTGTTGGTCTAGTTCAAAGCAGAGTATGTTAATATCTCATTGACATGTTATCGTCCTAAATATGAATGTAACATTTGCTGCTGGAAGTAAAGCACCACAAATCAATCCGAAATATTAAGTTAACAAAAGACAACGACCTATGCGGTTCCCGACTGGGGTCAGGCATGTGCCAGTGTTAAACTTTTATTATTTTCCCACCTCAACCCTACCCTGTAAATCTTGATCAGTGGAATAACAAGTCATGAACTTCTGCCTACAATCATCGGTATTTGTCGTCCATTTGCTGTAACATTTTGAACTTCTCCCGGACCACTGTGGCAAAGTTATCTGCTTGGTGAGATCTAATATGATAGGTTTGTTCCTTGGCACTATTACGGGGTGTTTAACGACATTTATTGGCACAATTTAGATGATCTACTGCTTGATCAATTGCAATCTCGGATGGAGTTTTTACAAAAAGTCGTCACCTTAGTTCTGATACAACAAAGTTAATATGAACGTTGCCTCAGCAGGGGCTTAGTTCTCCACTGCAGCAAACTAATACGTTATTTCCTTCCAAGTTGTCTAACATATATCTCGATGTGCCCCGTGGTTGTCTTAATATATATTTGTATTGTTTTTGCACGCTTCAGTGTGATTGTCGGGCTAAATTATAACAGTAAAAGTTTGATTTCTTTGCCAGATTTATTTTATTGGCTCCATGGCTTTGTTCTTCAATTCACAGTTTTGGCGTGATCGTCAGTGCTCAAACCGGTACTAGGGGTCGTCTTAAACTTGAAGTGAGGTGAGAGTTTTTGCGCCATGTTGAAGGCCTCACAGTGACTTTGAGACGAAGAACAGCAATAAAAGCGCTGTTCCTTTGCTTTTTGTGTTTTTTGCTGTACAGGTACTGATTTTGTGTCCATGATGGATGGATACCCCATATCCTTTCTTTTCTATCAATATCATGAACCAATTAAAATCAATTATGTCAGAAACGTTTCTTGTGGTATACCTATTATGAGGCTAGAATTAAAGTCAATTGTCAGAAACGTTTCTTATAGTATACCTATTATTAGGCTAGATCCAGCGTCGTTGACTTAGTACCGATTGGACAACAATTTCCAGAATGCTCACTATGCTGTAAAACGGGGTATTTTAATCTGCTGGAGAACCTCTAAACCATCTAAAACAATATTTGGCAGACAAAGAAACGCCCCTTGTATGAGTCGTGTATGGTACTTACTATTGTGTGGCAACATAGGTGCCGATCAACTTGTACTTTACTGACAGGAATTTGTTTTACATTGAGGCTACAGTTTTAGAATTACTGAAATCAAATTCGAAAGAACAATTCCTTTATATCATATGTATACATAAGAGGTCTCTGGTTCGGTGTACAATTCTAAATAAAAGCAGGACCATGCAAAACAAATTACAAGACTTGCAGTAAGAGTACAGAATGCCGGATGAAGGAAGTGTTTAACGTCCTACACGCGGGAACCTAGCTGCATTACTATAACACAGTTATTAGTAATCTCAGACAGGAAGTAGATATGTTACATGGCTAATGGGTTGTGAGAATCTAGAAGTTCTAAAACAACTATGTAATTTAATAATCAGTCTCTGGACTGAGAGGGATAATATTATGTTAAAAAAAGTAAATAATGCCGGTTAACTGACCCAGTGAATCATTCATAGGCCAAATTTGAATTTTAAGGCACTAATGATATCCATAAACAGTAACGTTGAATATATGCCTCAACATTTCTATATGTTAAATATATATACCTATCTGGGGTTTTGCTTTTTCTTTTGTGTTTATTTTTTCTCTATTCTATATTTCAGTGTCATTATATATATATCATTGAGAATTAATAATAATCATTGTAATAAATTATTTGTAATTATACTGCTCTCTTAGGGCGTCCTTGATTGACAATAAAAATATTGTATTGTATTGTATTGTATATATATTTGTATTTGTATTCACCAATAGATTGACAACGATATCGACATTACTTACCAGCACATAACCCTCCTCTGCTCATTTCAGCAATATCTACATAAGAAGCTGCTATCCCTTCACGATTTATAACTGTTACTGCAAATAAACGCACGAAATTTTTAAAGCCCGTTCTAAATATGAAGTCAAATATTGCAATAAAAAGAGATATAAGTTGGATATACCACGGAGCTCTTTTGAATACTGTTGATGTGTATTCACTAGTAAAGAAATTTATAAGAAAATGTTTCTGTTCCATAATTTCGGTTGCTGGCACCGTTGTCCTTTTTTTCTTTTTTCCATCAACGGCTTGGCAAATTACAGGTTCCTTTTGCTTGTAACGGTTGGATTTCGGTAGAACCACTTTGTATAGCTTATAATAGTTGTCGAGGACTTTGGATCCAGACGCTATTTCATAATCTTTAGCCGATCTCAAATCAATAATGCATTTAATACCATGTTTCTTGAATTCTTCTAAGTCGAGAGGGTCCATAAGGTCAGGCCTAGATGACCGGTAAATTGAGCCATGTCTTCCATTTCCCTGTTTTGATTTACCGTGACACAGAACTCTCCAATTGTGAATACACACCCTATCTGAATTTGCAGACGCCATAATCAAATCAAAACGTAAAAGCTAGAGACCTTCCAGAGAGTGATAACTTACTTCCTTGGACAAGATTATTTTGAAGAAAAAGTACGAGATCTTCGAACGTCAATAAACTGGTACGATTTGAGATTATTACGAGGAAGTACCTTTGGTTTGACAAGAAACCAGTAAATAACAGGTGCTTGTTCATTGAATTCCGGAACATGGAATAACAAACATTCACTTTCTTGAACTTGAAGCTGTTGTCATGTCTTACAATGATTAGTGTGCCGAACAATAGTGATTCGGAGTCTTCTGACTCGATGGAAGATATACAACTTAAACCTGTTCAACCTAAACCTCATCCCGCAAGACTCGTCAACACAGAAGTCCGAAGAAATGTATTTACACCTGTCACTCAGGGTCATGAAATACCTAGACAAATTTCTGAATTAAGCTTAACCAGGAATAATTATATGAATGAAAGGAACGTGGTATGTAAATAAAGTTAAATATAGAAAATACAGAAATGCTGTCAATACTCATATATTTGAGGTTTTTATAATTCTTGAAAGCAATAGAAATTTGATTGTGTATCCCAAAGATTTCAGATTTTCATAAGGTGGCATAATTTAATTTTTTTTTATTGAATTTTTTTTTTTCAGTACTATTCTATTTTAGAAAAAAAGCATTGTTATGTTCTTCTTTATAAAAAATAATTTTAGTTAATGTTATTTTTAATGGGGATTCTTAATTTAAATCATAAGTTTCCTGCATCTAAATATAACAACAACATGTACATTAAAAACTATAAAATGTGAAAAAAAAAGATATATAAAGTTTATTGTATTTTGATGAGTTTAGACCTGGTGATTGAACACAGTGTTAAAACAAGTTAAAGTTTTTGTTGTCTTAAGTATACACTGTATAAGTCCTAGATTTTATATAAAATATTCTTTGAGAATTTAACAAGAAATTGGTGGATATGTATGGAAGACTTTTAGGGCCGATATGTAATGTAACGCTTTTACAATTCAGTTTCAAGAATTACAAAAATTTTTTTTTATTTTAAATTCCTATTTGACATGTTTGATATTTTACCAAATAGCATTAAAAAGTCTTTTACACTGAGGAGAGTGGACACCACACCTGCATAATCATTACTAGTTGGGTTTTTTTTTGCATTTTTTTGATATTGGTTATGACGTTTTAACATTTTATAATGTTTGCATTGTGTATATAGTTATATTGTTTGCCCCTCAGGGTATAAATGTGCATTACTTAATAAACTAATATTAAATCTGGGAATAGTATACTAATATACATGTATTGTGTCCCAGATTAAATCAAGATAACTTGCAGTAGTATCAAAGTTTGATATCTTCCAAATTATTTTGTGCAGAAGTTACCTCCGCTGGTTAAATCATGGATCATGTTCTTTTGATTAATATATTAGTAAGTTACCTCCCTTGGTGTAATCATACTGTAGATCATGCTGATTTTTTTTTTTATTAATATATTAGTTTTTGAAGGTGATTTACTATACCTTTAAGTAGAAGATTAATGTTAAAAAATAAGCTACATGTTGGATGTTTTTAGAAATTGGATTTATAATGGAATAAAATGATAAATAATATGTATATATATCAGCCCAGTTTAGGTGGACGTAAAGAATCAGATCTACTCTAAAGGCATTGTTATCACAATTTCTTGACAAGTCCCACGAGGGATGAAAGTGCTAGACTTTAATGCTGTATGCTAACCCATAACGCATATTATCTGTTTTATGTTATAGGATTAAGTTTTGGTATCAGTTTTTATACGACCGCAAAAAATTTTTTGTGGTCGTATATTGGTATGACGTTGGCGTCGTCGTCGTCCGGCGTCGTCGTCGTCGTCGTCTGGCGTCTCCGAAGACACATTGGTTTTCGCACTCTAACTTTAGTTTAAGTGAATGGATCTTTATGAAATTTTACCACAAGGTTCAATACCACAAAAGGAAGGTTGGGATTGATTTTGGGGGTTATGGTAATAACAGTAAAGGAATTAGGGGCCAAAAAGGGGCCAAAAATAAGCATTTTTGTAACTTCCAGACATAACTTGTGTGTTAGTGTATGGATCTCTCTGACATTGTACCACAAGGTTCCATACCACAAAAGGAATGCTGGGATTGATTTTGGGGGTAATTGCCTCCAAATTTTAGGAATTAGGGGCCAAAAAAGGGGCAAAAAACAAGCATTTTTCTAGTTTCATGACAATAACTTGTGTGTAAGTGTATGGATCTTTCTGAAATTGTACTACAAGGTTCCATATCACAAAGGGAAAGCTAGGTTTGAGTTTGGGGGTAATTGCCCTAAACGTTTAGGAATTTGGGGCCAAAAAGGGGGCCAAAAAACACATTTTTTTCTAGTTTCCAGACAATAACTTGTGTTCAAGTGTATGGATCTCTCTGAAATTGTACTGCAAGGTACCATACCACAAAGGGAAGGCTGGGATTGAGTTTGGGGGTGATGAATCATAATGGGGGTTCAAAAAATTTTGGGGGGGGATTTATTTTTTTTTCCTTTTTTTTCTTTTTTTCCTTTTTTGTTTCTTTTAAAATTTTCCATTTTAAGTTGGTTATTTCTGATTTATATTTAAAATCAAATAATAATGATATGGTAGGAGATACACACCAAACAGGATGTGTAAATTATTATATAATAAGTATTGTGCAATAGCAAGAAATTTTCAATTGCACAGTATTGCACAATAGCAAGAAATCTTCAATTGCACAGTATTGCGCAATAGCAAGAAATCTTCAATTGCACAGTATTGCGCAATAGCAAGAAATATCCAATAGCACAATATTGCGCAATAGCAAGAAATTGTCAATTGTACAGTATTGCGCAATAGCAAGAAATATTTAATAGCACAGGATTGTGCAAAAGAAGATACTTCCTATAAATTGCTTATTTCTTGACCAATTTCAATGGGGTTTTATTCTTGATTTCATGGGGTTCTTTAATATGCTGAATCTAACCGTGTATTTAGTTTTTGGATTTTGGGCCCCGTTTTTAAATTGGTCCACATTGAGGTCCAAAGGGTCCAAAATTAAACTTTGTTTGATTTCATCAAAAATTGAATTATTGGGGTTCTTTGATATGCCGAATCTAACTGTGTATTTAGATTCTTAAATTTTGGTTCCGTTTTCAAATTGGTCTACATTAAGGTCCAAAGGGTCCAAAATTAAACTTAGTTTGATTTTAACAAAAATTGAATTCTTAGGGTTCTTTGATATGCTGAATCTAAACATGTATTTAGATTTTTGATTATGGGCCCAGTTTTCAAGTTGGTCCAAATCGGGGTCCAAAATTAAACTTTGTTTAATTTCAACAAAAATTGAATATATGGGGTTCTTTGATATGCTGAATCTAACCATGTATTTAGATTTTTGATTTTTGGGCCCCGTTATCAACTTTGTCCACATTGAGGTCAAAAGGGTCCAAAATTAAACTTTGTTTGATTTCATCAAAAATTGAATTATTGGGGTTCTTTGATATGCCGAATCTAACCGTGTATTTAGATTCTTAATTTTTGGTTCCGTTTTCAAATTGGTCTACAATAAGGTCCAAAGGGTCCAAAATTAAACTTAGTTTGATTTTAACAAAAATTGAATTCTTAGGGTTCTTTGATATGCTGAATCTAAACATGTATTTAGATTTTTGATTATGGGCCCAGTTTTCAAGTTGGTCCAAATCAGGGTCCAAAATTAAACTTTGTTTGATTTCAACAAAAATTGAATATATGGGGTTCTTTGATATGCTGAATCTAACCATGTATTTAGATTTTTGATTTTTGGGCCCCGTTATCAACTTTGTCCACATTGAGGTCAAAAGGGTCCAAAATTAAACTTTGTTTGATTTCATCAAAAATTGAATTATTGGGGTTCTTTGATATGCCGAATCTAACCGTTTATTTAGATTCTTAATTTTTGGTTCTGTTTTCAAATTGGTCTACATTAAGGTCCAAAGGGTCCAAAATTAAACTTAGTTTGATTTTAACAAAAATTGAATTCTTAGGGTTCTTTGATATGCTGAATCTAAACATGTATTTAGATTTTTGATTATGGGCCCAGTTTTCAAGTTGGTCCAAATCAGGGTCCAAAATTAAACTTTGTTTGATTTCAACAAAAATTGAATATATGGGGTTCTTTGATATGCTGAATCTAACCATGTATTTAGATTTTTGATTTTTGGGCCCCGTTATCAACTTTGTCCACATTGAGGTCAAAAGGGTCCAAAATTAAACTTTGTTTGATTTCATCAAAAATTGAATTATTGGGGTTCTTTGATATGCCGAATCTAACTGTGTATTTAGATTCTTAAATTTTGGTTCCGTTTTCAAATTGGTCTACATTAAGGTCCAAAGGGTCCAAAATTAAACTTAGTTTGATTTTAACAAAAATTGAATTCTTAGGGTTCTTTGATATGCTGAATCTAAACATGTATTTAGATTTTTGATTATGGGCCCAGTTTTCAAGTTGGTCCAAATCGGGGTCCAAAATTAAACTTTGTTTAATTTCAACAAAAATTGAATATATGGGGTTCTTTGATATGCTGAATCTAACCATGTATTTAGATTTTTGATTTTTGGGCCCCGTTATCAACTTTGTCCACATTGAGGTCAAAAGGGTCCAAAATTAAACTTTGTTTGATTTCATCAAAAATTGAATTATTGGGGTTCTTTGATATGCCGAATCTAACCGTGTATTTAGATTCTTAATTTTTGGTTCCGTTTTCAAATTGGTCTACAATAAGGTCCAAAGGGTCCAAAATTAAACTTAGTTTGATTTTAACAAAAATTGAATTCTTAGGGTTCTTTGATATGCTGAATCTAAACATGTATTTAGATTTTTGATTATGGGCCCAGTTTTCAAGTTGGTCCAAATCAGGGTCCAAAATTAAACTTTGTTTGATTTCAACAAAAATTGAATATATGGGGTTCTTTGATATGCTGAATCTAACCATGTATTTAGATTTTTGATTTTTGGGCCCCGTTATCAACTTTGTCCACATTGAGGTCAAAAGGGTCCAAAATTAAACTTTGTTTGATTTCATCAAAAATTGAATTATTGGGGTTCTTTGATATGCCGAATCTAACCGTTTATTTAGATTCTTAATTTTTGGTTCTGTTTTCAAATTGGTCTACATTAAGGTCCAAAGGGTCCAAAATTAAACTTAGTTTGATTTTAACAAAAATTGAATTCTTAGGGTTCTTTGATATGCTGAATCTAAACATGTATTTAGATTTTTGATTATGGGCCCAGTTTTCAAGTTGGTCCAAATCAGGGTCCAAAATTAAACTTTGTTTGATTTCAACAAAAATTGAATATATGGGGTTCTTTGATATGCTGAATCTAACCATGTATTTAGATTTTTGATTTTTGGGCCCCGTTATCAACTTTGTCCACATTGAGGTCAAAAGGGTCCAAAATTAAACTTTGTTTGATTTCATCAAAAATTGAATTATTGGGGTTCTTTGATATGCCGAATCTAACCGTTTATTTAGATTCTTAATTTTTGGTTCCGTTTTCAAATTGGTCTACATTAAGGTCCAAAGGGTCCAAAATTAAACTTAGTTTGATTTTAACAAAAATTGAATTCTTAGGGTTCTTTGATATGCTGAATCTAAACATGTATTTAGATTTTTGATTATGGGCCCAGTTTTCAAGTTGGTCCAAATCGGGGTCCAAAATTAAACTTTGTTTAATTTCAACAAAAATTGAATATATGGGGTTCTTTGATATGCTGAATCTAACCATGTATTTAGATTTTTGATTTTTGGGCCCCGTTATCAACTTTGTCCACATTGAGGTCAAAAGGGTCCAAAATTAAACTTTGTTTGATTTCATCAAAAATTGAATTATTGGGGTTCTTTGATATGCCGAATCTAACCGTGTATTTAGATTCTTAATTTTTGGTTCCGTTTTCAAATTGGTCTACATTAAGGTCCAAAGGGTCCAAAATTAAACTTAGTTTGATTTTAACAAAAATTGAATTCTTAGGGTTCTTTGATATGCTGAATCTAAACATGTATTTAGATTTTTGATTATGGGCCCAGTTTTCAAGTTGGTCCAAATCGGGGTCCAAAATTAAACTTTGTTTGATTTCAACAAAAATTGAATATATGGGGTTCTTTGATATGCTGAATCTAACCATGTATTTAGATTTTTGATTTTTGGGCCCCGTTATCAACTTTGTCCACATTGTGGTCAAAAGGGTCCAAAATTAAACTTTGTTTGATTTCATCAAAAATTGAATTCTTGGGGTTCTTTGATATGCTGAATCTAACCATGTATTTAGATTTTGGATATTGGACCATAATAGGTGAATGTCCAATTTAAAATTTTTAAGTTCTTAGACCACATTCAATCTGTGTTAGAAACCTATGCTGTGTCAAATATTTAATCACAATCCAAATCCAAAGCTGTATCAAGCTTGAATGTTGTGTCCATACTTCCCCCAACTGTTCAGGGTTCGACCTCTGCGGTCGTATCAAGCTGCGCCCTGCGGAGCATTTTATTAAAAGTTTATAGCCAATATGATTTTGTTAAATGGGTAATTCTTAATAAAATACTAAATTTCATCCAGTTTTAAAGACAGTCTGGTATAAATTTCATGTACATGTATAATAATTACACTCTATGAATCTAACAGGCTGAATATGTTGTACATTGTACATATAAATGCCTTATGCTTAGTTGACAAGTAATAAATACCAATTTTAAATTCTATGTCAGTTCTATCTGGAATCAAAAACCTGCCGAAGATGTTTTTTTGTTTTGTTTTTTTTATGGAGTTGGGGGGACTGTCTTTTATACTCAATACAGGTGAACATTGATTTCCATGTACATTTTTGTACTTCTTTTTTTTTTCAGAATGTTCAAATGAACCGTGACCATGGAGATCGGACATTTCCCCCTGTGATTCCATTAAATGTTGGTGGCATTAAATACATAACTAGATTGTCAACCTTGAGAAAATATGAGGATTCAATGCTGGCAGCCATGTTTAGCGGAAGGCATATTGTTGACAAAGATGAATATGGAAATTATTTTCTAGATAGCAATGGACAGGTATTTGCTAATATTCTAGATTTCTTAAGAAATGGAACAATTCCACCTAATGAAGTAGCTGTAAGTGTGTTCAAAGATGCCAATTATTTTGGCCTACATGAATTAGTTGAGCAGTTACAATTTAAGCCTGACATTGCCACCATGCATGTTAAAGAAGCTCACAGACAACTCTTTCCAAATTATTTTGTTGTAAAACAAAATATTGTGAAAATAGCAATGGATCATGCTATTACTTCTAGAACAGGGGAGATAATAATTAATATGTTCAAAACTGAATTTGCACCAAAAGCTCCAAACTTTAATCCAAAACATGGATGTGTTGCAGAACTAGCTCATATTAAAGTTGGACCTTGGGAAGGTGATACAGATGAAGAAATGTTCATTAGATGTCTAGAAAATGATTATTTAGAGGAAGGATTTAACTTAAAACCACACGAAACAAAAAGAAAATGTCGTTACTATCATGGACAAACATGTCCAAAATTTACATACAAACTGACTTTTATATTTTGATTTATTGTTGGTTCTGATATTTATATATACAAGTTTATGTTTTGATGATTCTTAGAGAAATCAATTGGATTTAAATATAATGTAGTTATCTGACTTTATAGATCTAAAATGTTAAAGATGTACAATAGAAATCGTAACTAAACATGCTAAATGGAATGCTTCTTGTAAATGTGCTCAATTCTCATTATATAAGACAGGGGCTATTTACGATTACTGTGCTAAATTCTCAAGATCATCTTGTCTCTCTAATGATGTTAGACCTAACAAGTTGATAAGTCCTAAGTCAATGCAAGTCAGAGATTTAATTTAAAAGGAAATACAAGCTTACTACCTGTCAAAATTTGAACATGTTTGCAGAAATATTTTTCACAACACAAGCAACACAAAATAAAATTTGCTCGCAGAAATATTGTACAATGTACAGCAAACAGTTTAGTTTGCTTCCACAACCTCAATTTGAAATTAATATGATTACAGAATTATTTTCAACAATCTCAAGTTTAAATTTTCTTACAGAAATATTTTTCAACATGTTGTTCAAAGTCACAAGCTGACAATTTACATATTTGACAATGTTTAAATTTAAGATAATCATAATAATAGACTTTCTACTAAATGTTGTAGGCTTATAGGTTGTAAATTCAGTATATTGCCTAGTTGAATTTTTTAACTACAGATTTTTTTTTAAATCAATCCATTTTAAAGATGTCTAGCTTAATTGATATGCCACATCAATTCCTTTACATGTACATGATTTATATGACTTTTTTTTTTATTGGCCCAATTTTTTTAGTCTCTCATGTCTCAAGGACCTTTGTTGTTATAAATCTGTAAATTTAGCTTGAAATCTCTCCTATATTTCATATAATGACTTGGTCAACCAAGTTTAAAGGTCACGTACTGGTAATATTATGTCAGATAAAGCTGTATTTATTTGTTTATTGATTCATTGACCTTTGATTGATCTTAAATAATTGAGTAAATGAAATAAGCTGTTTTAAGATGACCTTGGTTGAAATTAACATACATGTTTTTAATTCCCCCCAAAGTATTAGAATTTGTTAACTTGACAGTTATTATATAAACAAATACATGTAAAAGATTTTGTACAGTTTTCAAGATCAATATCCAGAATATACATTTAATATTTGCCACTGGAGGTAAAGAGGACAATGGTCATACAGTCTTTTTTTGGTCTTGTTCCTTTCAATATACAGAATATATTGGGTATTTGAAGCAGGGAAAATGATGAATGTTCTGTTAACTATTGAATTTGATGCCTTGAAATCAGTTTTTAAAAAACATACGGCCAAATCACAATTTTAAAAACTCACATTTTCGTTTCTGCCATAATTTTTTATAGCACTGGCCATTTTATGTGCTAATAATATAATGTGAATCAGATAAGGTAACCACAATTGTTCAAACATTTAGTAGCATTAACAAGCACTACAGCATACACCACAGCATGCACCACAGCATGCACACATGTATGAGGGTCTTGATCTGGAGGTCTTCATTTCTGTGTTCTCTTATTTTTTGGGGGTATTTTTTGTCTATTCTTTATTTATTTAATTGTTGGCCAGTATTATCTATTCTTTATATTTAAGTACCACATAATTCTCTATTCTTTAAATTTTATGCCATTTTTCTATATTCTTTATTTTTGTACCCTTATTGTCTATTATGTTAACCATGTTTAAAGAAGCATTTGAAAGTATGCATGGTTTTTGTCGAGCCTTCGACTTTTGTCGAAAAAGCGAGACATAGCGATCCTACATTCCGTCGGCGTCGTCGTTGTCGTCGGCGGCGTCCACAAATATTCACTCTGTGGTTAAAGTTTTTGAAATTTTAATAACTTTCTAAAACTATCCTGGATTTCTACCAAACTTTGACAGAAGCTTGTTTATGATCATAAGATAATATTCAAAAGTAAATTTTGTAAAAAAAAAATTCCATTTTTTCCGTATTTTACTTATAAATGGACTTAGTTTTTCTGCCAAGAAACATTACATTCACTCTGTGGTTAAAGTTTTTGAAATTTTAATAACTTTCTTAAACTATCCTGGATTTCTACCAAACTTGGAAAGAAGCTTGTTTATGATCATAAGATAGTATCCAGAAGTAAATTTTGTAAAAAAAAAAATCAATTTTTTCCGTATTTTACTTATAAATGGACTTAGTTTTTCTGCCAAGAAACATTACATTCACTCTGTGGTTAAAGTTTTTGAAATTTTAATAACTTTCTTAAACTATCCTGGATTTCTACCAAACATGGAAAGAAGCTTGTTTATGATCATAAGATAGTATCCAGAAGTAAATTTTGTAAAAAAAAAAATCAATTTTTTCCGTATTTTACTTATAAATGGACTTAGTTTTTCTACCAGTTAACATTACATTCACTCAGTGGTTAAAGTTTTTAAAATTTTAACAACTTTCTTAAACTATCCTGGATTTGTACCAAACTTGGACAGAAGCTTGTTTATGATTAAAAGCTAGTATCTAGAAGGAAATTTTGTTAAAATTTTGTTTGATTTTTTCCGTATTTTACTTATAAATGGACTTTGTTTTTCTTCCAGTTAACATTACATACAGTTTGCAGTTTAAGTTTTTAAAACATTTATTAGATTCATAAACTATCCTGGATTTTTACCAAACTTGGACAGAAGCTACTTACAATCAAAAGATAGTATAGAGAGGAATATTTTTATTTATTTTTTTCCTCATTTTTGTTGAGCCTGCGATTAACAGCAAAAGTAGGCGAGACACTGGGTTCCGCGGAACCCTTACGAATTTTTTAATCATTTAGTACAAAACACAAATTATGCTTTGCACATCCTAAAGGTATAAAAGACAGCAAAGTTATAAATGTATGTATAATTAGTATACGATTTAGTTTAATTCCTAAGTGCTTGTTTTATTTAGATTGATAGTACATGTATTCATCATGTTCATGGAAGAGTTAGAATTTCTGTATGAATATATATGTTTTTTTCATTTACATAACTACATGTACTGGTATACATCATGTTTTTGAAAATTATAAGCTACATTTATAGTGTTAAAATTGCTTTTTGCTCTTAAAGAATGTACATTGTATTTTGAATTGCACTAGATAAAACAAAGGTAACTCAATAAATAGCTTTTATGTCACTAGATTCTCTTGCATAATAATGTACATTTAAAAATTTAAAGACACAGATAATTGGGTTTTCTCAGAGGTGTTATAATATAATTGTTATAGCCTTTCAAATCTTGTTATCTTTGTTTTATATTTTTGTAGTTTTGAAAGCTGTAGAAAGATTAAACATGTGAACTCCAGAGGTTAAACAATTTCACAATTGAATAATTCTCAATCTTATAACACCTGTATTGAAAGGAACTGGTATTGTATTTAAAAAAATTATCTGATCAGAAAACCAGCAGGTAGACAATACAAAGGAAACTGTCTGAATTTCACAGCCAATTCAAAAATGTCATGATAAAAATATGCTTGAGCAGGGAAGGTATTTGACAATGAGCTCAAAAAATTTACAGTGAAACTCTAACTGTTATTGCAAGATCAAGAATCTTCAGCATCAATTTGAGCAATTAAATAATTCTCTTTAATTTCCACTGAACACAGCTACACATTTTCTTGTAGGTTGCAGCTAAAAGAAGTATATGATAACTAGTATAAATAAAAAATTATAAATTTTTTAGCTCATCTGGCATTATTGTCCATGTGAGCTATTGTCTTCTACAGCAAAAGTGACCAGCAGTACAAGATCAACAAAAATGCAAATATGACGGAAAACATTAATTGGCTCCATACAAGAGTTACTCCCCTTTATTATTTTTTTTTAAACTTTTGATGTTTTTGGATATTATCTTGATAAAGACTGCAAACTATAAAATTGTTAAACATGCATTTAATGTTATAGACTAGTTCTTTTAAAAAAATGCCTCACATATATATGAAGTATTTGGTATTTCTATGTTGAATACTGTGTATTCATTATTATTTTAGGGGTATCACATTTTTTGAATTTCGTGGATCAAGGTCAACCAGGAAATCAAATGTTCAACAAAATATAAATTTCCTATCCAAATATAATATGCCAAATTTTTAAAAAAATTGAGACAAGTTTCTAGGAAATTCATTTTTTCCTCAATTCACGAAAATTTAGTACCAATAAAAGTAAATGAATCAACAGTTCTTTAATCTGCATAAATATGCTACATGTACATGTATGTTCTAAAGACAATTATTTTACCAATCATTTACTTTATTGATGATTTTTATTATCAGACTACACATGGCATTTGTTATTATTATTTTTACTATAAGTTGTTATTGATTGTTGATCATTCCTTTGTATATTATTGGACAGGGTACATTTTGTATATGATTTATTAGAAATCCATTTGAATTAGTTAGATAATATTAGGAAATCCATACTTATATGGTCAAAATTCTCAACTCATTATGTAAGAATCTCAATTAAGGTCATTTAGTGTTAATGCTAGCTGTGTTCAATAGTGGTTAGACAGCTGACCAGGATGACCAGTGTGACATGAGGAAAAATTGGTAGCACAGTACTATTAGCTAAAATAATGTTTCTATTATATAATTATCTAAAAATTCATGTGCTTATGTATTAGTTATCCCATGAGGACTCGATGTGTCAGTGTAAGATCACCCAGGAGGCTGGAGGGTGATCTTACACTAACACACCAAGTCCGAATGGGATAACTTTTTTACATCCCAGCTATTCTAGATTATATAAAAAAAATTTACGCTTTATAACATCTAGTTTAGAATGCCACACAATCATTAGAATATACTTTATATATTACTATATAGTATATACCCTTTATGAGCCCCGAAGACAATGTTTAAATATGTTAAATTAACAAAGAGTTTATATCCAGTCATCCTGGTGTAGGGGTATGAATCGTGGGTCTATATGCTAAAGGTCTTGAGTAGATTCCCAGCATAGACACTGGATATTTCTACATAAATTTATTGTGAATTTGTCATTTCCGCCAAAATGTTACAGAACAAAGGAAAGCATGCAGAACAAAGAAACTCAAGCTAGGGTGATCGGGCTCAGACCCTGGTAGAATAAAGGAGCTGGAATGTAATTCTTGATAAACTGTCAGACACTCATGTAGTTTACCTATTTTTTTTAACAAAAAAATTTAAACATTTTACCTGAGTCACACAAAGGTTCTTGAGAAATAAAATAATGAAACATTAACAAATATAAGTGATAATTCATAAGTATATAATTTCTATATAAGGTTATATAACGGTATTGGGAGAAAAGGGCCTTTGTTCAAATTAAAGTGCTTAATTTATATTTTCAGAAATCATTGTAAATAATTGACTTCTGAAAAATTGATTTCAAGGAAACAGCCCAAGATCATTACTAGCTTGACAAAATTAATGCTGATTGTTCAGGAATGTTACATGTTAAATTGTTTATGAACAATCTTTTTTTTAAGAATCATTTTGATTATGAATCTGATGATTGTGATTATGTTGCTTTGGCTTTTATTTTATTCTTGTTAAATAATATAAGACTTACCTGTGATGTTATGATTTAATATTGTCTTATTTTGTTGTATTCTTTGTTTATAAATTTTGTGAAAACTTTCTTTGTTTTTCGTTTTTGTTTGTTTGTTAGTTTTCATATCAGGTCATTGTTACTAAGAATACCATTCATGTTGAATTAAAAAGAAATACTTAATAGAATCTTTATTTATTTGCAAAATGTAATGTAAAATTATGTTCTTTTTTTTTGTCCACACCTTACTTGCTGTGGTGAATTCTTTGTGGTGTCTATCTCTTCATCTCTCTGAAACATACTTATACTCAGAGACCATTTGCCCAAAAGCTTCTTACTTCATTTGTACTTGGTATGAATATTTGTCATCTTATTCTCTTTACCTTAGTGTATTGTCATTTGGATTTGACATTTTTTGTTGGAGTTATGGGACTTTGATCCTTTTTTTTTATATATATTTTTGTAACACAGTCACACTCTGTGAGCATAACTGTTCTGTGACCTTTTGACATAAAGCTTTTATATTTAGTAAGATTATTTGTCATCATGTGAAGTAAACAATACTACACCAACCTTTTTTGTTGTGGCTAAGGGACTTTGACATTTTTATATGCCTGTCAAACACCTGATGTATTATGGTATACCTCTATTCATCTGTCCAAACGTCATACAAAAGCAGAAGTGTTTGGATTAAAATTTAATGAAATTTTTATGGAAGAGAGCTTCCTTTAGATTTTGAGTTTGTGGTGGCTGGTCAAAGTACAAAAACAACTTATAGTATGGTGATGTTGGGCGGGTGGGCAGTTGGGGAAAGGTGGGTACCTAATTTGTGTAAACAACTTCTACAATTTTCAACCCAGATCCCTGAAACTTCACAGGAAGATTGCACATATGTTGAAGACGGCACCTGCTATTATGGAATTGTTTAATTTCCCCAAACTTGGTAAATGTAACGTAGTCATTTTTCAGCAAACCTGTGAAAGAGGAGCGATTGGGGCATAAAAAAATTAAAATTCTGGATGAGGATAAGACTAGAAGTTGCAAGGAACCAATATCAATCATTTTGATCTGCTACCAATTGAATACTGGCCCAGGATTTTCAAATTTATTTTCCATGAATTTCTATGATAATCTAATAACTTTTGTCAGGTTCAGTAAATACATACTTGTAAAGACACCAGTTTTGAATTTTTATTGTTAACTGCTCAATTGGATTAACCACCTCATCATTATTTTTAAATTTTAAATAATTGTCAAATCCATAGACAGTGTGGTTTTTAACAATCAGTCCCCCACCCTCCCCTGAAAACAAAGTTATTTAAGATTTAGATTCAGATTGAAGTTTGACCATTAAAATTCAGCCTTGTGACCCCATATAACCTGCCTTAAGAACATCCTGGCTAAAAGCCTGTTGATGCATGGCAGTAGGGTCTACACTCTACAAATATGAACCTAGATCATCCAAGAATTATTCTTTCCTATTTTAGGATCATTTACTAGAGAAAATTTTGAAGAAGAAATGAAATTGTCTCATTTAATTATATACCTATGGTCAACTTGGATTACATTTGGGACTTATATTTCAAATTATGAAAAAATCAACTTTTGAAAACAATTTGATTAGTAGCTATTTTGGATGGTGATTGGGGATGACTGATCACTTGGGCCTACTTCGATTCGCCCAACTCGGGTTAAATTTTTAGGTTTGATTGCGCATGCGTCAAGAGCGTGTATCAATCGAATCAAAAACTCTGGTGGAGAGTTACTGGAGGTCCATTGTTTACCTTAACAACATGGATGAATTTACGATACTAAACCATATTTTTAGTGATGATGAACAAACGATGGTAATTCAGTATATAATTGACTTTAACCAAATCTTAATACAATTATTGACAACCTCGTTGCCCAGGGACCCTGTCCCACGTATACAAAACTTTGCAGAGGAGACTGTAACAAAGGGTGTCCTCATAAGAGCAGAACAGTGAACTGATTTTGACAATAACAGTTAACAGCTAAAAAAATATTCACAATAGCCGATAACAATGAATAAAAAACACCCAGAACACAAGAACAGTAAACGTCACCTTGCCCCCCTCTGAAAAGTATAACGGAGGTACACATGTGTATATTTTAGCCAATATTTACAATTGATGGACATTGATGTAATACAATAGATATATATTGTGGTGTTTTAATGTGACTATTGTAATTGAACACTTAAAACTTCTATTTTGTCACATAAAATGGCTAAAATCCGTCTAAATCGTAAAAATTATATTTTTGAAAAGCACTCACGTCTCTTTCGTCGCCATCTTGCCGTTTAACTCGACTCGATTAAACCTGGTCAGGGGCAGGATTGATATCGAGTTAACTCGAGGGTTGTAAAATGATAATACTCGGGTACTTCGATTGCAACTCGAGTAACTCAGGTTACCCGAGTTGGACGAATCAAAGTAGGCCTTGAATAACAAGATAATTTTATCTCAAGTCCAGTTTTGACTGGACCAGTGATTTCAGAGGAGAAAATGAAAATATGAAAATTTATGAATGGATTGATTGATTGTTAGTTATTGTTTCAACACCACTTTCAGTACTCTTTTGCTTTATCATTGGCAATCCTAGTCAATTAAGATCAGAGTTAAACTAACCTTGCCACAAGCAGGGTTTCAACTCACAATGTCAGACCACTCGACCAAAGAGGATCCTCTATGAATGGAAGACAAAAGAAAGACAGCTAATGGTTCCAAGTAATTATAACATTTTAAAAAGAACTAAAAAAATCATTTGTGCAAATTATATTTATTGGTAAGTTTTGAATCACTTTAATTTAATGCCCACTGAGACTTAATATAACTGAGCAAATATAGCATAATAATAGGAACACAAGAACTCACTATGCTAAACAAATGTTTTATACCTGAAAAAACACAATTCAAATAAATCTATATTTGTATCACTTGTCATGGACTTTTTTCATAACTATCTAAAGAACTTAATACAAAAATATCAATTTAGGTAAATATCACTTATAATGGTAGCTAAATTTAATTAAGAAACTCCATCTAAACTGACCATTGCAAATTTCCAATTTCCTTCAAAAATGTCACAACCATGAAATTACTAGTTAAAACAAGCCTGTTGTTTAGTTTTTCTATGCATTGTTTTATGGAAAGCATGTGCAGTTGCATTTTACACAGAAATAAAATATAGGTTTTGGAATTCCTTGGCCAATCATCATTACTGAATCTTATGAATATTCAATGTAAAGTCATTATAATTTAGTAAAAAAAAACTGTTTATGATTTTTTTAAGTTCCTATTTGAATGTAGTTTTTTTCGGTATTAAAATTGAAGAAAAGTTATTACAAGGAACTTTTTCCCCAGATTGGATATGGGTGGATTTCAACAAGACATTAAATCTCATTAAAAACTTTGGAAAAATCAACATGTCAAAGGAACACCACTTTTATTGCTGTACTTATTCTTCTCATTTACTTAGAGGTCTTCAAAAATTAACTACAACAGTTCACACATTAAACTATAATTAAAGGTGGATTTTGATTTCAATGGAGTGAAGAAATGATTTATGTTTTGTTTATTTTTTATATTTCCTGGATTCTAGCATGTCACTTAAGAAAGTGCTTAACAGAAAATTTGCTGTAAAATACAAATCAGGGAAGTTGTGACTTCACAGCCACATACAAAAACAGCATTATTGATACAAATGCACTTAATCTACATAGTTTTCGTAAATGAAACATAAAGAATTATTAAACCCTCTCATTGTGGAAAAGTGTAAAACAAAATGTATTGATCAATTAATTCCACAGATAAGAAGGACTTTCACAATATAACTGACTCAAATAATATATATTTTACATATTAAAAATCATAAGTTTTTGCACCATCTGAAAATCTGAAAAATACATGGATTTTGATAATGAAATGAAGGAGAAATAACTTTGAACTTCAATTCTCCAAAAAGTGATAAACTTGCTTAAGATTCAATATACCTAAAGTTGATGTACATATAAGTTTTAGAGGACTATAAAATCATTATAATATTTTTTTTAGGAATATTAAAAATCAACAATGCACATATTGTTTATTTTCAAATCATGAAAAAATGCAGTAAATAAAAAAAGTACTTCATTTTTAACATGAAAATATTCAAATTAAACTCTACATCTGTTTATTACATGCTCTAAGGGTGGTCTCAAGAATATCCAAGGTTCTCTGACAGACAATATTCATGAAAAATGTTAAGACTAGAATTGATTGTAAGTTGTACCAAAATGTTCATGACTTACAAGTAGTTTTCTGGTCAGATTTATTGTGTCAAGAACCACTCATTAAAATACAATATATTGGTGTCTATTGATAATTTTTATTCTAAGGACATTAAAACATGAAAAAAAAGAATCACTATCCAAATAAGGAATAATTAACTTGGCATAAATTGTGTATTCTTATTTCATGGAACCCTATATGAAAATAACACAATGTGTAATGTAATGTTTAGAATATTTCATATTTTATGGCAAGAATAGACTGACCCAAAATCCATAAATCCTTTACTTGATTAAGATTTTGCAACTTGACAGAAAATAGTGTGATTATAAAAAAAGCTTTAAAAATAAATTAAGTACAACCTTATATAAGGATGAAATATTCAATTCATGGTACAGATTCTTGGTTGGTATAGTATAAGTACTTTAAATATAGTAAATTTGATAACAAAATCTGATACAGAGAATATATCATTTCATTGGACATTTTATTCTTGGAATGAATTTGTTACCTCCCTTGTATTTGACAAATTACTAACTAAAAATTGTTCTACTAAAACCATTCATGGTAATCTAACAAATTAAAATTCCCAAAAATTGAGAATAACAACTATTAGTCATTATTTCAAAACTTATTCTTCATAATAATTTAAGACATCAACAATCTCCTTCTGCTAAAACAAAATATTCTTTCAAATTCCTTTGAAAAGGAAACAAAAAGTTGGTTAATAAAACTTAACTGGAACATCCTTTATGATAACTGAATAGCTGAGATCATTACGGAATAAATTATTACATAGAACAACATAGAAAGATATGTAAACACCATACTGGTAATAATCAATATATTAAAACATAAATAAACTTAATCATTATAAACAGCGGTATTTAAATTTACATTCATAATTTTTCTACATAGTCATATCTTTATAAAAGAACCTATTACATTTACTAAGGAAACAAAGTATAAAATACCCTAAATTAAATCACAGATTTGATTTTTGAGTTGGTTACAAAGTTACTCTTTCTTGGTTTGATTGGTCTTCCTGATCTCCGTAACTAGAGTTTCCAGGTCGTTGTGGAGTTTTCTATTTAAGACAGCACCAGCACAGAACATACCACCAAACATAGCACCAGTGAAACCACAGGTTGATATATCCTGACCTGTATAAAAACAATTCAGGTTTAAAGCATTATCCAACATGTTACAGTTTAATTATTTGAATGTGTAATTTAAAAATAGAAGTAACATTTGCTACTGTAAATTCAGAAATTATTGCATGCATTTATCATTGCGAGTTTTGAAAAATGGAAAAAAAATGCAAGATTGATTATTGCAGTTTCAGGAAAATCTGCATACAGGTATATGAATCAGTTATCAGAATGTGAGTTCTTATTATTGCGATACTCACCCAGTCACATTATTCACATTAATAAAATCCTTTGCAATAATTTCTGAATTTTCTCAGAAATTTGAACCCATCAGTAGCTATTAAAAATATAGAAACGACCTGGTCAAACTGCTTCTACATGCAATCTTGATACATGTTGCATGATTTTATTGGCTAACATGACTGCTGTTCTTGCAATAGGTTGTAAACAATGGTAACATTGATTTCATGGTTCAAAGAAGTAAACTTGACTTTATTGTACTTAATAAAAATTTACTTACAACAAATGAGATTGACATGTTTCGGTGCCTAGGGCACCATCATTAAGATAAAAACAATAGGAAGTAAACTTTGACAAAAATGTTGAAAAAATGTGAATCTCATTAAGATTAAAATGTTTAGTTGATATTATTCTGTCAGTCTGTTAATGACATACACATTTTATTCAGCATTTTTGTTAAAGTTTACTTCCATACCTACTTTCACTTTCTATGGTTTTTATCCTGATAACAGTGCCCTAGGCACAGAAACATGTCGATCTCATTAAATTACTGCAACAGTCCCTAAAGTGTTGTTGTTATAACTGCTTTCTCAAATAAAGCTATAAAAAAATCCTTAAGATAATGTGTAATTTAATGTGCATTATTAATTGCTAATCTTCCTCAATTGACTATAATCTGAGATTCAGCAATGCTATTTAATGCACCTGTTGTAATATATTATTTGCAATAACTATAATGGGAATTTTCATTATAAAAATTTTCATAAGGTCATTTATTTTTGCATTAATCAAAATAATTGACATTATTTACCATATTTAAAATGTTTCAGAGCCAATATCATAAAGACAAGTTGCTGAGAACAAATATGACATTCTCATTTTATAATGCCTCATAGAATGACCTATATTGATTTTAAGAAATTTTCATTTTTTTTTTAAATCCCAGATTCCAGAATTTTTTAATTTATAGTGTCAAGTTAATGCTGAACAAGCATTCTGTGAGTATTGCCTGGCAATACATAGTCCCCTACCGGTTAAAAATTCATTGTACTGGAACAAAATGCTAACTTGATCTATAACTTGTCATGGTGTAAACTATATAACAAATATCAAGTCAATATCTTCAAGCATGACGAAAAAAAGTGAGGAAAACTGATTGTTTGAGTGAATTTTCTAAGTCCAAGGACCATAACTCTGCACAAAATCATTAGACCGGAACAAAATTTGAACTTGATCAGTAACTTGTCATGATAAAACTATATACGAATCATCAAATCAATATCTTCAAGCATGACCAAAAAAAATGCAGAAAACTGATTATTTGAGTCAATTTTCTAAGTTCAAGGACCATTACTCTGCACAAAATCATCAGACCTGAACAAAATTCGAACTTGATCTGTAACTTGTCATGATTAAAAATACACCAAATTTCAAATCAACATCTTCAAGCACAAAGAAAATAAGTGGGGATAACTGATTTGCCGGACTGACGGATTGACAGACAGACAGACAGACGGAGTGCAAACCTAAAGTCCACCTCGACTTCGTCGGTAGGGGACTAAAAAGATTATATTTGACTGTAACAGCTCAAAATCTGATGAAGACAATAGGCTTATATTCTGTAAAGTTTCTGAATATAACAAATTCAAACGTTTTAAAAATTAATCTTGTATAAATAATTATTAGCTTTATACATTAATGACAAATCAAGTGGACATTGTTCACAGGGCTTTAATCTGACTTATGTGATGGATTCATTGACTGTCAAAAGGGTCATAGCAAAGGACTATCATTTACATTTTGGCTAATAAAAATACCCACTGTGAAAATAAAAAAATTATACACAAATTGTATTTACCAGTAAGAAACAAGCCTGGAATGTCTGTCTGTGCTCGTAGTTCTACAGATACTTCAGGTGAAAACCTCTGGAGTGTGTGGTCAAGTCCATACATCTCACCTTTATCAAAACCCAGGTAATACTTGTTACTCAAAGGTGAACCCACATCTGTATATGCTACCTATTAAATATACATCAAATCTTATATGTCAATGCCACTTTTAATTGAAAATTGTCCTTTGAGCGTTCAACATATATTTTATATAGTTTACATGATGAATAAAAAAGATTGTGTCATTGGCAATATTTTAAAATAAACATTAAGTATAACGGTAATGTTTTGTTTGTGTAATGATAAATGGACCATGTCAGTATGTGTTAATATTGTTAGTTGATCAGTATGATCTGGAGAAAATACATTTATGTTAATTTTCAAATTATCACTTAAATCAACTATAATGAAACATTTAAAACAAAAACTCAGAATTTCAAGTTTCCTATATACTTAAGGCAAAGTTAACATTTACTAAATTAATAAAATTTCAATGAAAAGCAAAAGGTAATTTATCTTTCTGGGAATGACATATGGAATTGTATAATGTATAGCTGTTCATGGTTGTACTAAGTTATTTACTTGAATTGTTAGTCTCACTTTTCAATAAAATTTATATAAAAATGTTATATTGTTATATAACAAGTTGCAAATGTCTCTTTCAGTTTAGAAAAAACAAAAACAAAAACAATAATAAAGCAATTAACTTTGGGATGCAACACAAAAAACATCAGGTAATTCTGAAAATCTGTTTCCTTTCTGTTTTAAGTAACATTCTGTATATCAGTCATGCAATTTATGAAAAATGTGATTCACCAGAAAAAAAGCTACACATTTTTTACTAACTTATTAGTATACATCATGTAATTGATAATAATTCTTCCCATACAGCCTGACCAAGAAAGAAAACCTACTTATATTTACAACAGAATTTACAGGATTATTGAGTTATCTCCCTTTTCAGACTTTTCATAGTGTATTATTTATGGGCAGTGTGTAACTATAGGTTAAAAGGAAGTAAATAAAGATGACTGGCGTCACCTAGATTTTACATCCAAGATAATAGGTAGAAGTAAATTTATTTTCTGCTGCCCTTGTAATTAGAAATCAAAATTGAAATAGTGAGAAATGAGTGTTGGCCATTGGTGTAGAAATAGCGAGAAATTTAGAGAAAACTCTCTGTGACGAGCAACATTTTCTGTGCCAAATTTAGCAAGGGGTGTTCTTCGTTTATACTATTTCGAAAATTCCAGAACCGTTGAGTACCCTTAAAAAATGCAATTTTTCTATCAAAAAAGCTGCGGCACCATATGTGTTTTGCAGTTTCAATTACACCCAAAGGTGTTGATAATTCAGAATTCGACATTTTTTTCTATGGATCTTTGATAGTGAAAACGCAGGACCAAAAAAGGCTACCATTGTCGCCTATGTAAATAATTACTTCCTTGTAACCTAAAGCGAAATAACGATTTCTGGCGCATCACTGTATTTTTCGAGATATTTTAGAAATTGGATCGGTAAATTAATAAGGTACTAAGTGATAAACTGTATCAGAAGAAAATTGCTGATCGCCAAGAAACTATAGTCTATATCAAATTTTTACTGTTTTTTATTCTTCTGCCTAAGGGGTAGGGTTCATTAACCTACTGTAAGAACGAGACTTCTGTCAATGACTCTGACTTTAATCATTTCTCCTCATCCTCGATAACACTGCATGTATTTATGCATATTTAAAAAAAGGGGGGCTTATTTTTGCTGACGTTAACGAAATTTTTATATTTTTAATGGCCAAAATGTGCCAAAATGCCCCTAAAATATTAAAATTAGGTAAAAAATCAAAGGCAATACATGTTTCTCCTTAGTATCGTCGAATTGAATATTCTGCACACGATTCATATAAAACACATAACAGCAATGATAAATTCTTAGTTTCAGCACTTTTATAGTCTATTTCATAAAATATTTTGACTCTTATGCAATGGTGTTCATATATTCGTGATAAAGACATATAAGTTGGACACAGTTATCAAATCATCAGCCTAAAGTCTTTAATAGGCCTAAATTGAACTTCATTAATCAAACACCTCGTTTTAAACATAGCCAAACAGTCAAAATAAGCTGGCCAATGGTCCCAAGTCTGTAAAAAGCAACGTTTTCTGCAAAGGGGGGTACCTGTAAAGAAAGTCATTTTTAAAGGTGAAAAATTGTACCTTTAATCAAAAAATTTGAACTTTAGCAGCAGGAGTATATAGTAATCGACTAATGTAAAGATTGTCCGATTTTATTTCAATATATGTCAGTATAGGTTAAAAGGAAGTAAATAAAGATGACTGGCGTCACCTAGATTTTACATCCAAGATAATAGGTAGAAGTAAATTTATTTTCTGCTGCCCTTGTAATTAGAAATCAAAATTGAAATAGTGAGAAATGAGTGTTGGCCATTGGTTTAGAAATAGCGAGAAATTTAGAGAAAACTCTCTGTGACGAGCAACATTTTCTGTGCCAAATTTAGCAAGGGGTGTTCTTCGTTTATACTATTTCGAAAATTCCGGAATCGTTGAGTACCCTTAAAAAATGCAATTTTTCTATCAAAAAAGCTGCGGCACCATATGTGTTTTGCAGTTTCAATTACACCCAAAGGTGTTGATAATTCAGAATTCGACATTTTTTTCTATGGATCTTTGATAGTGAAAAAGCAGGACCAAAAAAGGCTACCATTGTCGCCTATGTAAATAATTACTTCCTTGTAACCTAAAATAACAAGGAGGTAAAATCTGAAAATATTTTAAACCTTTTTCCAATAACAAACCTTATCTTCTAGCTGAGGAAACATCAGTAAAACTTGATTTAACATTTGTCTGCCGATTGCATTCTTCAGTCCTTCATATTCACCTCCTCTTTTCTTCACCTTCTCGTCTTCCCATCTATCAAACCATTTATAAGGACATATGGTGATGATCAACAGATTAGACTTGCCTATAATCAAAGAAATTTTTGTTCTTTGTTTGTTTGTTTGTTTTTAATTAATGGTATTGGCTATATCATGGCGGCCAATCATAAGTTTTATATTGGTGGAGAAAGTACCTTGAGAGAATCACAACCTTCTACAAGAAAACTGGAAATCATTGTCAATTCAGATGGCAATCAAATATACCTCGCCAAGAGCAGACGTGAACTCACAACCTCAGAGTTGACAGGGTAGTGATTACTGTAGATGAACTAATTAGACCATTTGCCACAGAGGCCCCAAGAACAGCATTGAAATAAAACTTTGATATCAGCTCTTTACTATTATTTAAAGATTTATGACTCATGGATATAGTTACGATACTGTTGTCAAGTCATATAAGATTGCATTGTTTGGAGTTAATATAGATTCACTCAAAGGGTCTTTGCAATGGAAATAAACACATTTATTCTTAAACAAGTTGTTGGCACGATACAGGTTATGTTCTTCTCATGTAATTTATGATGGCATGATTCTGAACCCCTAACGGGAGGGATTGTGGTTGATTTTCATATGATGAAGACATAATCTTTCGATCAGTTTAATTGAGGCCTGGAGCTGGTATGTCAGTAACTGCTAGTAGTCCTTTGTTAATTTATGATGATCATTGTCATTTTGCTTAGTTTCTTCTGGTACCTATTATAAAATCGGACTAGGACTTCTTTTAAACTGAGTTCTGTGCATATTGCTGTGTGTATGTTTATTCCACATTGGCTAAATGTACAGGGGAAGTTTTTTTTTTTTCATTTTTGCGCATGTCCCAAGTCAAGAACCTCTAGCCTTTGTTAGTCTTGTGTGGTTTTTTAAATTTTGGTTCATTTGTATGTTTCAGAGTTTAGTGTGGTGTCCAATTCGCTGAACTAGTATATATTATTGATAAGGGGCCAGCTGAAGGCTGCTTCCCGCTGCTTTGAAGACTTATTGGTGGCCTTGGGCTGTTTTCTGCTCTTTGGTCCAGTCGCTACCTCTTTGACACATTCCCTGTTTCCATTCTCTATTCTATCTACTCCATATCCTTTCTTTTCATATTTTAAATTTAGTAAGAATAGTTTGCTTCAGATCTCAAAAAGAGTAATAAACATTCTTTGGCTGAAGGGAAGGACACTAACATGAGCCACTTACCTGGGAATCTCTTGGACCATGAAGGATCTTTAGCTGAAGGAAATGACACAACCATGAGACACTTACCTGGGACTCTCTGACCATGAGACACTTACCTGGGAATCTCTTGGACCATGAAGGATCTTTAGCTGAAGGAAAGGACACGACCATGAGACACTTACCTGGGACTCTCTGACCATGAGCCACTTACCTGGGAATCTCTTGGACCATGAAGGATCTTTAGCTGAAGGAAAGGACACGACCATGAGACACTTACCTGGGACTCTCTGACCATGAGACACTTACCTGGGAATCTCTTGGACCATGAAGGATCTTTGGCTGAAGGGAAGGGCACAAACATAAGAGACACTTACCTGGGAATCTCTCTGACCATGAGGGGTCTGGCCGAAGGGAAAAACACCAACAAGAGAGACACTTACCTGGGAATCTCTCTGACCATGAGGGGTCTCTGGCTGAAGGGAAGGACACACACATAAGAGACACTTACCTGGGAATCTCTCGGACCATGAGGGATCTTTGGCTGAAGGGAAGGACACAAACAACAGAGGCACTTCTGCTTCAGCAGCCTCTTCCACTGATAAGTTTACATATTCTTTTGTGAGTTCTTCAACATCAGGTCTGCAAGGAAGAAACTAAGTATATACAGACAAACCACATGATGACAAAATCAGATAAATAACAATATTTGATGACAACAACATAAGGTCAAATCAAAATTATCTTCCAAATTTAGTGGGAAATAGAAGAAGTAATGTAAATTCAGAAATTATTGCATGCATTTATTATTGAGATTATGAAGAATGATCAAAAATGTGAGTTCAATAATTGTGATCTTTGGAAAGCTGCATAGATATACATATCAGATATCAGAATGTAAGTTCTTATTATTGCGTTAACTCAAGTAGTTGCATTTTTAGCATTAATGAAAACCTTGCAATAATTTCTGAGTTTACAGTATTTAAGATCACATTGAAATATTTGTTAATTAAAGAAAACTGACTGCAAGAATTAGGATTAATCAATCTGAAATTAAAGGTCTAGTAGATCAAACCATTGCAAGAAATTTTAGTATGGCTATTTTTTTTGTGAGACAAATTACAAAATCTAGTAAAAGTGTAAATATAAATTTCTGATATATCAAATATTCATTCTAATATTTATTGCTATACAATGACTTTCCTATTAATCAAACCATCATAATAGGGTAATAAAAGATGATATATAATTGGTTTACTGAAATATAATTTTTACTTACATGTATTTGTAAAAATTTGTATTTTTTTTAGCATGGCTTATGGCAGATTGAAATGGAAATTTTGCTAATTGGCAATGTATTTTTATGTTAATTACAAATGTCAAACACTGAAATTTTTTTTATTGATTTATTACCTGGTAAATGCCCAGATGTTTTGAGCTTTAAGTCCCAATTCCTTTGTAGTTCCCTCTAAACCAACAAACATTGAGATAAAGGAAAAACTTTCTCCTACTTTCTTTATCATTGGAAAAATACCTACAAGTTAAATAAAAACAATGTCATTTGGAATTTCCACTTTTAATATGTAATGCCACCATATGTTCAGAAGTTTTCCATAAAAATAAATGAAAGGTAATCTATTTAGAGTTATTTTATTCCTAAGTTAACGAGCGCCACTGATGAGTCTTATGTAGATGAAGTGGGTGTCTGGCGTACCAGATTATAAGCCTGGTATCTATGAGGAGTTTTTACTTCCTTGAATAGCCCATTCAGAGAATATGGTGATTCTGTTATTGATGTGGCCTGTTATCTATTTCCTGATGATGTTTATTTCTTGTGTGATATTAATAAGTGATATCACAAATGCATCTATTTGGTTGGCCTAACCTGCAACGTGATATGAAATTGTGAATTTTTCATTGGCTATTTGTTAGGTCCACAATGAGTAGCAAATATCACAACAAACAACATTTCCTCCATGGCAACAAAGATAAGTGAATAAGTGATTCCTTCCATGAAAATGTTGAGTCTTCCAAGGAAGACATGTGTCACCAGCTGTCTCTAAATGATGTAAGCAGAAATAGATAAGTCCATGTTTTGCTATTAAAAGCCCCAAAATATCTAAGATCAATGTAAAATTAGCAGGTGCTCAACTTCAGATCCTGTAGAAGAATCTATGCAACTTTTGGTTTGATTCTGTCAAGACATTTTCAAGGAGTTGTGGACGAATAATTTAAAAGAAAAGAAATATTATCACTTATTTTATCTAGGAAATCACTTCAAGATAAATATCAACAGATGTCTAATATACCTAAGAGTCAACCAAAAAGAAGATTTTGAATTGTTTGATCAAATAATGACTGTGGTTACCACCGGTACACATAACAAATATATACTAACCCTGTAGTGACTTTTATCCATGAATTTTTTTTAAATTCACTAATCTCTAATGTGTTATCTCCAAAGAAAAACAACCAATTTAATTAGACACTTACTTGATTTAACAGCCACCTCTTTGGGTAGAAGTCTAAGGAATGTATTGGATACTCCTGCGTCGGATATAATGTTCTTAGCAAATAATTCACAGGAGTTAGTTCCCTTACCAACTAACACACCTAAAATTATAATATCACTGAATATCAAAATATGAAAAACATGAAAAAAGAACTATACAGAATCAAAATCCATTTAAAGCAACTATACAGAATAAAAATCCATTTAAAGCACAAAGCATTCAGATACAGTTAGTAACTAACTTCCTATACAACTGGTAGGTTTGGCGCTAATTTCCTAATGCTTGTAGAGTAAGACTTTGGTTGGCTTACTTGCTTTTTTTGTATAAATGTTTGTTATTATACAATTTGTAACTAAGATTGACATCTGCAAACAATATAAATAGGCGGAGTTAAACCTGTATACTTCAATTTGATTGAATGTTATCCTGGAAGTTAGGAATCTAAATATAAATGTATACAGATTTAACTGCGCCTATTTATATTGTTTGAAGATGTCAATCTTAATTATAATGCTTGAGCAAACATTTATACAAACAAAGCAATCAAGCCAACCAAAGTATAATTCTACAAGCATTAGGAAATTGGTTCTAATTCAAGAATAATCAAGAGCTTTTCAGCATATATATGATCTAAAGCTCAAACATTTGTTATCCAACTTCTTTCCAATTGGTAAGGTTAATTTGAATTAAATCAAGAGCTTTTCAAACAATTGTTTGAGTTCGATATCAATCCTGCTCAGGTGTTACGTTGAAATCTACATGATTTCTGCCTGAGAAATTTTGCTTTAACGCCTGATTCAAAAAAAAACTATCTTTTGATATACATGTAATTAAATAGAACCGAATTGCAGGAAATCATAAGATATGATTGGCTTTTTGGTTTATGGCATAAGCATATCTGTTAACCAGTAAAGAAAAATTGGGCATACTGTGGATTCATAATTATTCATTGGATAATAATTTTTACTGATTTGGAGGGTACAGGTGAACAATTAAATTCAATGTTCAACAAAGGACACATTTTCTAAATGCTTGTGTACCAAACCATGAAATCAAATACTGTGGTTTCATTATTATTCGTTGGATACCAATTTCCGTGGATTTCGTGGGTACAGGTGAACCACGAAATTGAATGTTCAACGAATTACAAATTTTCTATAAGTTTTATGCAGACGTTGGCTAAACCACGAAATCAAATATCCACGAACATGCAAGTTTTCCTCAATCCACGAAAATTGGTACCCACGAAAATAAATGAATCCACAGTATTCACGAAAATACAATTTTTTCTCAATCCATTATAATTGGTACCCATAAAAATAAATGAATCCACAGTACTTCAAGGAACAAAACATTATTGATAAAAACAAAAAAAAACTCAGGAAAAACAACAAGAAAAAGGGATCGGAGTATTACAATGCAAGCTACAAGATACAATCAAATAAAAAAGTTGATAAGCATCCTTAATAAACATTTGATAAATGTTTATTCTAATCAATGCTTGGTCTTTTTTCTGCTACTCCAAGATCTTGGATTTTCATTGTTAGTTTTAACAGGTCCTCCTTTGTTAAAAAAATTTGGCAAAATTGAAGTTTGTGAACTCAATACTTATATATAGTTGAACCCCTGCAATGCTTTCTCAAAGACAGAAGACTACCTGATACTTATTCCAGCTTTATATAATACTGTATATCAATTTATTTTGGTTGAGCCACCAACTGTGAAAGTATTGTATTCCTGGGTGTTAACTTTTCTTGGTTCACAGCCAATTTAAAGGAGAAACTTTGTACAGAAAAATCAAATTCTATTTTGCACTTATGGTATATTGTATTAATAAATAAATAATCTATGAATATTGATACTTACCACAAGAGTATACTAAACTTTTTCAGTACTAGTATATATGCCTTCTAAAGATTACTGTAAACAAACTTATTTTCATGGACATTTTTTTTTTTGTGAATCACTGATAAGCTCTTCCAAAAAGTAAATAAGAAAACATGCTGAACTCCAAGGAAAATTCAAAACGGAGAGTCCCTTAAATCAAAAGCTCCAACACATCAAATGAATGGAAAACAACTGTCATATTACTGACTTGGTACAGGCATTTCCTTATGTAGAAACCAACTTTGCAATTTACTTTTTCTGATTTTCTAATTTGTTCATGTATGAATATGAAAAGATCAAGATAGACTTGTTCGCTACAGTTTATATTTTCTATATTCTTGTATATATATACTGAAGATTAATTGGTTAACAGTATCCTTCGTAACATGCTACAGATAAGATATAAGTTATACTGAAGATTAATTGGTTAACAGTATCCTTCATAAAATGCTACAGATAAGATATAAGTTAAGAAGTACACCTGAACCAAGGGATAAGGATACATAACATCAAAGCAATAACTTAAACACACACAAAGTTTTGGCTGCTATATACACATATACACATTTGGATAGTAATTTTTTTACATTCACTAATAACAAACCATTGCTTTGAATTTAGAAGGACTATTACACAGACAGGACTGATTATAATGAGACAGAATACATTTTTCACTAGCACGTTTTACTAGATAGGCACATGCAAATTGACAAACATTACTTACCCACGGCCCGCCCTTGATCGTCAGTCAAAATTTTCTGTACAGGGGCTTTAACCAGAACTTTGCCACCTAATGCCTCTATTCGTTGTACAATTTGGTAAGGTATTTCACTTGATCCCCCACGGATATAGTAAGCACCCTCGGCATAGTGGTTAAATAATGCTGCATGCAAGAGCTGAGAAGACTTAGATGGCACAACTCCTGGAAGGCAAAGTCTACATTTGTAAAATCTATATTTAAAACTCACCATGAGCACGACCTGAATCATCAAGCAAAATTTTCTGGATTGGTGCTTTCATAAAGATTCGACCTCCAAATTTTTCTAATGTTAAAATTGTCTGGAAGACCACTTCACTTGGTCCTCCTCTGATGTAATAACCTCCTGATATGAAAAGGTTGAGAAGTGCTGAATGCATAATTGAGGAGGTGTTGGAAGGATAAGTACCTGGAATATATAAACAGCATGCATGATTTTCTGTGAAAAGGTTACTAATCAGGTTAAGGATCAAATGTTAAAGCAAGTGCAAATTGGTTAGTTTTCCATAAATATGTATAAGATATGATATGGTACAATAATGTTAGAGTAAAAGTTAGTTTTTCATAAATATTATAAATTATGATTGATTATTATATAGCTAGGGTAAAGGTTGGTCTTTGATGATTTTCAAATATGATTAATTAAAAATAATGTTAGCTAGGGTACATGTTAATAGCAATTCTTTAGATCTGTAACCAATAAACAAGTTGTAGCTCCCTCAGTGTCAGAAAATTTTGTTTATTGATAGCTTCTTCATGAATATTAAATGTGACTTATTACAAACAGGCATGGATTTGTAACTCTTGCATGGCATGCTGGGAATGATATCCTGAATATCAGATAAGATATCATTAACATGATTAGCATCCTTGGCACAACTACACTGCACAAAAGTCAACTATATTAAATTTTGTACAAAAGTGTTCAATCAGAGGAAATAGATATTACTGCAAATCATCCTCATTTAACACCTTTCTTCAAATACCAAGAAACCGAGAATATGTAATCACGTTTTTATTTTTATTTCCTGAACACAATCAATCTTGATGATGCCCCTAAAAATCAGTTTATGCTTGTTTCAATCACCAAAGAATGATTTGATCCTCTATATTCTAAATAAATCTGTTAAATTTGAACTCTGTATTTCTTTAAAATAAGTACAAAGACCTACCTGGTACATGTATTCCAAACTGAATTTTTCAGATATATTCATTTAGCTCTCAATTTGCCAATCAATATTATCATTAAAACAAATAAAATTGAGAATGAAAATGGGGAATGTGTCAAAGAGACAACAACACAACCGAAGAGCAGAAAACAGCCGAAGGCCACAAATGGGTCTTCAACACAGCTAGAAAATCCCGCACCCGGAGGGGGGCTTCAGCTGGCCCCTAAACAAAAATGTGTACTAGTTCATTGAAAATGGACGTCATACTAAACTCCAAAACATATAAATGAATTAAAATTAAAAAGCATACAAGACTAACAAAGGCCAAAGGCTCCTGACTTGGGACAGGCGCAAAAATGTGGCTGGGTTAAACATTTTTTGTGAGATCTCAACCCTCCCCCTATACCTCTACCCAATGTAGAATAAACAAAAACACATTACTTTAACTTGTGCTGAGTACAATGATTTCACAGGTTTATATTATCCTGTGATTGATTCAAACTTTTGATATTGCAGAAAAAAGATTTCATAAAATAGGGATTAAGCATGCATAATATAACATTGTACTTTCACTATCATGAATATATATGAGAACCAATCATTTTTTTCTTGGCTTTTCATATCTTTTTCTCGTGTTGCAGATGAAAATTAAAAAATGGTTGATTGATATTTGCTTAACATCCAGTGAAAAATATTTCATGCATGTTACATCAGGTCCAGTTTACCCGTATAAAGGTTTCATTATCAGTTCAGATGTTCAAACAGTGCAAAGTAATAGTTATAATCCAGTAAAACTATCTATCTAATCTTCACTTTTTTTTATACTCACCCACTTGGAAATTATTGTATGACAGGTAGGTTCCAATCATCACTGGTTCTGAACAGGTATGTTTTCAAAAAGATTTGATCCCTTTTACAAGTGTAATAAGGTTAAATTTTGGAGTAGAAAAAAATCGTAATTTCTTTCCTGTTTTTAAAATATTATAATGGTGTTTTTGATATGGCACATCTTTCAAATTTCACAGACTTCATTGCAGAAAAATGTACATGTACTATGTGTCAAAAATAAATAAATAAATGTTCGTGAAATAATTAAATGATTGCTTTAGGTATATACAGATTTCCTTCAATTGATATTTATCAATTGACTGCTTTTAACAGGTATATATATATATACAGATTTTCAATTTCTAAAACATAATACTTTTTCAATATGTTTTAAGTCAAGGTACTTTAAAAAGCTAATATGTGCAAAAAATACAGCTTTTTGCAACATTCAGATAATTTATCTTAATTTTCATCAATGTCTTTACAAGCTTTTTTCTATCAACCTCCTCTTAAATGTACTCTTTATATAGGATATGTCAGGAAAAAGATTTGGACATATAGCTTTCTATATATGCCCTTGAAGTTTTACTAAATAACATTTTTGTTCGCTTTGGAGATTCCGTATATCGTCAGGTTATCGGAATTCCAATGGGGACTAACTGTGCACCACTTATTGCGGACCTTTTTTTGTATTGCTATGAGTTACAATTTATGACAAAAATCAGCAAAGACCCATCGAAACAACATCTGATACACAAATTTAATAATACTTTTAGATATTTGGATGATATTTTGGCTCTCAATAATGACGACTTCAGTATGTATACTAAAGAAATTTATCCTGTTGAACTTACTTTAAATAAAGCTAATACTAACAATGACCACTGCCCTTTCCTTGATCTTGATATCTATATCATTAATGGAAAGCTTAATACTAAAATATATGATAAAAGAGATGATTTTTCATTTCCCATCGTTAATTATCCATTTTTAGATGGTGACGTTCCCTTGTCACCATCTTACGGTGTTTATATATCTCAACTTGTACGATTCGCTCGTGTATGTAACAATGTTTTAGATTTTAACGAGAGAAATTTATGTATTACTGAAAAAATTATTACACCAGGGTTTTCGATATCACAAACTAGTCAAAACATTTACTAAATTTTATCATCGGTATAAGGACATCATTCGTAAATATAGCTCAACATGCAGACTTCTTATACGTTCAGATATTTCACATTCAATTTTTTATGGAAATATTCTTTATAAAGCACAAAAATGTCAGTATTCACCTCTGAAGATAACAAAACCTTTAAATAGACTTATTAAGAAGGGATATAGTTACGATACTGTTGTCAGGTCATTAAAGATTGCATATTTTGGCGTTAATATTGATTCACTTATAGGGTCTTTGCATCGGCACTAAACACATTTATTTTAAATAAAATGCTCCGCTGGGGCACAGCTTGATACGACCGCAGAGGTCGAACCCTGAACAGTTGGGGCAAGTATGGACACAACATTCAAGCTTGATACAGCACTGAATTTGGATTGTAATTAAATATTTGACACAGCATAGGTTTCTGACACAGAATGAAAGTGGTCTAAGAACTTAAAAATTTTCAATTTACCTATTCATACATGTGATGGACTGTGAAACTCAGATCAGGAGATTGGGAAATTTTGGTCAGGAGATTAGGACTCAGATCAGGAGGTTTTTAATCGACATTAATTTTGTTGTAAATGTAACCGTGTGCTGTAAAAATGGTCTTTTAAAGTGTGTTTTCTTCAACTTTCCAACCAATTTATTATGTTTATAGTACCCTTGTACTTATAAAGTTTCTCCATCTTTATATTCTACATGTTCAATCTAACATTGTTTTTTTCCAGTATGTATTCTATAAAACAATCATTGCAACCAGAACATTTGTTTAGCTGTCTGCAAATAGTTTTTATTTTTTTTTTTTTCTCTTGCAAATAGTTTTTATTTGCAAACTCAGAAATTCATTCTATCTGTAATGTTAGGGTCATAGTTATTATATAAATTTCAATTTAAGCCTTAAAAGAAAGTATAGAATCCTCAAATAATTTTCAAATTATTATTTTTTTATTTGTCCTAAGACATTTAAAATCATTTAATAACCATCCTTTTATGATTATTTGTTCAATTTATATTTTATTTATATTCTTTTAAAAATTTTCATTATTAAAAGGAAAGTAACTTAAAACAGGATAAATCAAGGGAAGTAACCCAATAAATACACAGTTTTTGTTACACAACGGCAGTTAGCCTGAGGTAAAAATCGTTGCTAACCAGTATGTTTGACACCCAAGCTGACAAGTGAAGCCATATAATTATGCATGTTAATTGATTTACAGGTAAAATATAACTTCAGGTAATGTCAGTTACACCAGATGCCTGAGATGTTATGTTGGGCAGAAACTTTTCATTCATGAAAAATTTCATACACGGGATTTTTTCAACGGGAGGGGGGGAGGAGACCCCTGAAAACGGGATTATTGTACTCCCGTCGGGAGGTTCACATGTATGCCTATTCAAACCATATCATTATTATTTGCTTTTATATATAAATCAGAAATAACCAATTTAAAATGGAAAATGTTAAAGAAAAAAAAGGAAAAAAAAAATCCCCCCCCCCAATTTTTTGAACCCCCTTATGATTCATCGCCCCCAAACTCAATCCCAGCTTTCCCTTTGTGGTATGGTACCTTGCAGTACAATTTCAGAGAGATTCATACACTTGAACACAAGTTATTGTCTGGAAACTAGAAAAATGCTTGTTTTTTGGCCCCTTTTTGGCCCCAAATTCCTAAACGTTTAGGGCAATTACCCCCAAAATCAATTCCAGCTTTCCCTTTGTGATATGGAACCTTGCAGTACAATTTCATAAAGATCCATACACTTACACACAAGTTATTGTCCTGAAACTAGAAAAATGCATGTTTTTTTTGCCCTTTTATGGCCCCTAATTACTAAAATTTTGAGGGAAAACCCCCAAAATCAATCCCAGCCTTCCCTTTGTGATATGGAACCTTGTAGTACAATTTCATAAAGATCCATACACTTACAAACAAGTTATTGTCATGAAACTAGAAAAATGCTTGTTTTTTGCCCCTTTTTGGCCCCTAATTCCTAATATTTGGAGGAAATTACCCCAAAAATCAATCCCAGTATTCCCTTTGTGATATGGAACCTTGTAGTACAATTTCATAAAGATCCATACACTTACAAACAAGTTATTGTCATGAAACTAGAAAAATGCTTGTTTTTTGCCCCTTTTTGGCCCCTAATTCCTAAAATTTGGAGACAATTACCCCCAAAATCAATCCCAGCATTCCCTTTGTGATATGGAACCTTGTGGTACAATGTCAGAGAGATCCATACACTTACACACAAGTTATGTCTGGAAGTTACAAAAATGCTTATTTTTGGCCCCTTTTGGCCCCTAATTCCTTAACTGTTAGTACCATAACCCGCAAAATCAATCCCCACCTTCCTTTTGTGGTATTGAACCTTATGGTAAAATTTCAATGAGATCCATTCACTTAAACTAAAGTTAGAGTGCGAAAACTAATGTGTATTCGGACGACGACGCCGGACGACGACGACGACGACGACGACGCCAACATCATACCAATATACGACCACAAAAATTTTTTAGCGGTCGTATAAAAAACCAGTTGTTGGCATGACACGGGTTATGTTCTTCTCATATATGTTATGATGGTATGATACTAAACCCCTAACGGGAAGGATTGTGCCTGATATTCATATGATGAAGACATAATCTTTCAATCAGTTTAATTGAAGTCTGGAGCTGGCATGTCAGTTAACTGCTAGTAGTCTGTTGTTATTTATGTATTATTGTCATTTTGTTTATTTTCTTTGGTTACATCTTCTGACATCAGACTCGGACTTCTCTTGAACTGAATTTTAATGTGCGTATTGTTATGCGTTTACTTTTCTACATTGGCTAGAGGTATAGGGGGAGGGTTGAGATCTCATAAACATGTTTAACCCCAGCTGCATTTTTGCGCCTGTCCCAAGTCAGGAGCCTCTAGCCTTTGTTAGTCTTGTATTATTTTTAATTTTAGTTTCTTGTGTACAATTTGGAGTTTAGTATGGCGTTCATTATCACTGAACTAGTATATATATTTGTTTAGGGGCCAGCTGAAGGACGCCTCCGGGTGCGGGAATTTCTCGCTGCATTGAAGACCTGTTGGTGACCTTCTGCTGTTGTCTGTTCTATGGTCGGGTTGTTGTCTCTTTGACACATTCCCCATTTCCATTCTCAATTTTATTCTGTCTTTTAATTCACCTTTTTTCTGAGCTGACATTATAGAAATTTTATGTGTGTGTGTGTGAGTAGGTGTGCAGGATTTCCAGTAAATAAAATGTCCTAATGTATTCTTTCTTCACATTAGTGTGTTTATTCAGTCAGGGATAAAACCTTAGGCGACAAGTTGACATGGAATTTTTACACTATTGAATTATATACTTAAGAATAGTCTGATAAGATTTACTGTACCACAAGACTTACCGTAATCTCCCCAACAGTAAGACAAAACAGCCTTCAGTTCTTCATTTTCTGTCAGTTCATCAAGTAAAGACTTCAATGATTTACCGTGAAACTTAGCATATGATCTAAACATTAACTTATATATTCCGGTGGCTATCAGGAGTTTTACTACCCTCTTTGGTAATACCTTCATGGCAAAATATCCAGTGAAACTGTTTCTACTCTCCTGTAACAGACCATCATTGAAGTTATATGGTCAGAAAAAAGTCAATATAATGATGCATTCAAGAGTACATATAAATCCAAACTGAATGAAAAAAGGAAGGAATGTAAACAATACACTCATGAGACTAAAAAAAGTGCATGTAAATAGAAAAGAGATAAAGCAAAAAGCATGCTCATCATCCAACTGATGGTTTTCCCATGGCTTCAACAAAAATTGTCATCTTCAAAACAGATACTTACTGCAGTCTAGTATTTCTGCTTGTCTCCTAATTACCTGCTTTTCGTTTACATACTGTGAATTCAGAAATTATTGCGATGTTTTTATAAATGTGAATAATGGGACTTGGTGATTATCGCAATTATAAGAACTCGCATTCTGATATCTGATAAATATATCTGTATGCAGATTTTCCTGAAATCGCAATAATTAATCTCTCATTTTACTCTATTCTTAAATCATCTTAATAAATGCACGCAATAATTTCTGAATTTACAGTAATAAAGACTGGACCATTTACCTCTCTCCTCTTTGCTTTTTTTCACAATTGTAATAATTGTTTGAGGACTTTTTACAGTTTATAAAATTGGGAAAGCCAGTGCTTGATGTAATATAAACAAAAGCATTTTTTAATATGGGAACGCAAAGGTAAATTTTACTTTTAATCAATTAAAATTTATCTTACCAATAACTTACTTTTAAAAACTGCATAAACTTTTTAATAGCTGTCTCTTCTTTAGGGAAATATTCTATCAGTGTCTTTTGTAACTTCTCTCTCCCTGAACTTATGTTGTAAGCTCTAGATTTTGCTGGATCTCCTAGTCTAACCTAAGTTTAAAATATTCCCATTGGATAATTTATACAAAGATGTTGCAAATATTTGGCTCAAGTTCCAGCATATAAACTAAGACTAATAATTTTTTTAAGTCGTAGAGTTGTTGTCTTAACATTGTTCAAACGTAGATTTTTTTTACGTTCTCATTAACAACAGTTACTGATTAATGAATAACTTCCAATCTGTTACCATTCCAGAGCACCTTAGATCACCTTCCCCAGGTTTTGGTGGGGTTCTCATTGCTCAATCTTTAGTTTTTTATATTGTGTTTTGTATATTGCTGTTTGTATTTTGGTCCTTTTCCTTTTTTTGCCATGAAATTGTCAGTGTGTTTTCGACGTATGGGTTTGAATGTCCCTTAGGTATCTTTTGCTTCCTTCTTTAACAAGAGGAATTCAAAATGATGACAGAACATATTTTTATTACATTTATTAGTGTCATTGTGAAAGCAATCAAGTGCCAATACAAATGGAATCCATAAGTGGAAATCGTCAAAATCAAACTAGATCTCCATTCTGTCATAAGACACAACATATCAAAAAATTTGATAAAGTTTGGTTGAAGGGTTCACCACTAATTTTACAGAAATCATCGGCGTAGCTTGCCTTCTGTTATAACCGAGGCAGGGGGTCTAGGGGGCGCAGCTCCCAGAAACTGTTGAAGTTTTGCAACTTGAAAAAAAAAAATCTATTAAAAAAAAAGCAGTAACTGTTGTTTTTATTTTACTTCATCATAACACAAGTTGGTTGACCGTTATGGAATAACCGTTTCACAGATGATATCGGATATGTTCCTTGTGTCGTAACTACAATACCCTTCCCTTTTCACGAATGTGACCTACCGAATTAGACTATTTACCGGATTTGTAATAACATAAGCAACACGACGGGTGCCACATGTGGAGCAGGATCTGCTAATCCTTCCTGAGCACCTGAGATCACCCGAGTTTTTGGTGGGTTCGTGTCTTTAGTTTTCTATGTTGTGTCATCTGTACTATTATTTGTCTTTTTATTTTTGGCCATGACGTTGTCAGTTTGTTTTAGATCTATGAGTTTGACTGTCCTTCTGGTATCTTTCGTCCCTCTTTTACACTAAGTTATACTACAGATTTTTGAGTTGATTCCTGGTACCTACAACATTTTCAATGTTTGGATGAATACATAAATGTTCTCAATAACATTTACCACTTTATTTCAAATTGAATCCTTCCAGTGAACGACCCAGATTTTAAATTCTTTACGAATAAAAGGAAATAGGTATGGGATTTATTTTAATGACACAGCAAGTCAACAATACAGCTGAGAATCATCAAAGAAACCATATCAACTGACTTACAGAATAGTGGACTTAACAACAAGATTCAAAATGTGGGCTTTGCAATGCAGATATATGTTCTTGATTGGATTTGCTGTAAGCGGGTTTTAATGCCAGAAACATTACCAGACATCACGCTTGAAGCATTTCTTGATTAACTAGGAAATAAAAACATGCTTCATGTAAAAATCACCACTGATATATATTATTTATGTCGCTGGAATCAATTACTCCTTCAATTATTTAAAATTCCCTGCTAGTGAAAAAAACATAAATTTTAAACAGCGATAACAAGGATTTGTATAGTAAGACACTATACTATACAAAACCTTGGTGAGAATAAAACTTTAGAACAATATAGCTAATTATTTTCTGTGCATGTTGATAAATATTTGTAATTTTTATTTCAATTGGTATCAAAGTTTAATGAAACTAAATGTACTAGCTGAAGTATTACACGTCGGGGGAAATGTCAACACACAACGAAATTTCAATTTTAGATGTTACCAATTATATATGAGGGTTGGTATGGGCTTCCTCAAATATTTATTTTTTATTCTTTTTGTCCATAATGTGATTTTCATTTCTTTTATATTTATCATCATTCAAATCTCTATTCTTTTAAGTTTAAATCAATTTCAGGATATTTTTCTGTATTCTGTAAACCTCACCCAGACCCTCATATACTAGAAATTATTCTTGCAAAAAATTAATAATTTACCTGAATGGTCAAGTGATTCGATCGGAGAAGGCTTGCGAGTTGGGTAATCATCTATTCTACTGATTTTGCTTGGGGTAGGATTATATATATGTGCTAGCTTCAATTGTGTCGATTTCCGAAGTTTGACTTCGACATATTGAGATTACTGAAAACTATCATAAAGGGATCGGGATTTCAAATTAGAGGAGGAAAATGTTTCCATAAGTCTTGAACTTGCAAAGGGTATGAATCAATAACATTAACAAGACGATACAAGTCGTTACTTTAACGTTTAGTAGCGAGTCTGCTGCTGTGAAAATTGTTTAAAAGAAAAGTTTTTTTTATTTCTTTTTTTTTTTATTTCTTTTTTTTTTTACTGAGGCAACTGCCTCGGTTGCCTCAACGTAAGCTACGCCAATGGAAATAGTTGGAAATAGTTGGAAAGTTGGAAACCTGTATAAAAGGGCTGGTTCGGACAGTGGGTTGGTTTATTCAGGTTTTCGTATTGACAGGAAGTTATTGACTTGTGACATCAGATATTTTGCATGTAAAAGTTCTGTATCATTGTAAACTGTAAACTAATAAAAACAAATACGGTAATAATCTATTGGTTAAAGGTTATGTCATGATATGCATGAAAACATTGTGACATGAACATTACAAGTGTTCCCTGCCTTTTCATCATTTTACTACGCAGGATCGTGTCTTTAGTCAGCTTAATATAAAACATTTTTTTGGCATATCCTTGTATGTCAAATAGGCATGGGTATTATCAGTCTCAGTCTCTTACTCGTCAGTTTTTACTTTCACTTTGAATTCATTGTTCTCATTTGCATCAGAAGCCTCGCGTTGTTTGACTTGTTTCTTTTTACTTCCATCGTTCATTTCCTACGTTGGTATAGCTCGATTCAAAAGCAAGAATTATATCAAACGAAATTTCATCATGATCGAAATATTGGCATACAGTGTACCATACCCCTGAACTCAAAAATGGAAAGTCGTCATCCAGGTCTTCTCCTTTATCAGGGTCATCGGTTTAGGGTTCACAACAGGGAGCCAAGCATTTCAAAATTACCATGTAAATTTCTCACTCCACAATTTAAAATTGTATCAATGTTACAAGTATTAGTTCTATCAGAGATATATTTGGCGACGATAAATTCAAATGTTTCTCGTAGTTTATTTTAATGAAAACTTAATAGTGTTTCAATTAAAACAGCTAACTACTTTAAGTTCACAGTTTAACAGCTTGCTAATTAATTATCCTTAAAAACCCTCTTGTGAAAACAATTATGTTTTGATTGCATATCGATCAATAATAATAATAATAATAATCTATTTTATTATTGTGTCACATATTGATTGACATACATATTATACAATAACATTAAAACATACATAGAACAATCAATATCAAGCCATATCAATTTGGCTTATGAGACACATTGCACAAAATATATACAAATTTAAAAATCCAACAATACTTTGAAATACTATATATTTATAACTAATAACTATGATTTAAGAGTATTTTCAACATGATGAATAAAACGAAAGAAAAAATATATAAAAATTTTTCCTAAAAAATATTTACTTTACATTTATCTAAAACTTCATACATATGTGAAAATATTTACGTAAAGATATCTAGAAAAAAAAACTAATATGCATAATGTAAATAAACAGAATTAATTAAAATTATTATTCAAGGTTAGATATTTAAGTAAACAATATTAACGTCGCATAAAAACGGTTAAAAATTTATGTAAACAATTTACGTCGCATAAAAAACTTATAAATACTTTTACATAAAAATGGCTGAATCTCGGAGCAGTTCATGATTTGTATAAATTTTAAATCATCATTCAAATTTTCGACCCTATTAATATGTTGTGAACATTCTGAGTAAAGGTCAAATCTTAAGTCATTGTATAGACAATTAATAGTTCAATAAAAAATGTTTCTCAGTTTCAACACTATTGTCAGAACAATAAATACATAAATGATCTTCAACAGGTATTGGCGGCTTGGTGTATCTTCCAGTCTTGATGGCTAACGGGAGCAAGCCTGCACTAAACAGGGCCATTACACGTCGGTACGACCATGGAATAATTTTTGAAACATACAGTTCCACGGAACAGTTACTTTTGTATTGCCTGTATGTTCTAAGTTTATTTCCATTATCTTTTCCGCGATCGTTAAAGAGTTCTCTTTGCAATTCTGTATTATTTATGGTGTTAACTTGTTCGATGACTTTTTTCATGGCTACTTTTGTACTTATTGTCACATCACTAACAATGTTCCTAATTTCCATCAAGTTGACCGTCTTGTTCACCTCGGTATTCCAGCCTGATACGACCGCAGATGTCGCACCCTGAACAGTTGGGGCAAATTTGGACACAATATTCAAGCTTGATCCTGTCTGAATTTGGATTGTGATCAATTTTTTTACATAATATAGGTTTCTGACACAAAATAAATGTGGTCAAAGATCTTATAAATCCATTGCGCAATACTGTGCAATTGAAGATTTCTTCTTGAAACTTTACAAAAATTCGAAATTTTTTAAATTTTAAAAAAAAAATATGAATCCCTTAAAAAAATTGGGAAAAAAATTCCCCCTCTCCCCCCAACTTTTTGAAACCCCCTTTGGAGCAATAACCCCAAAACTCAATCCCAGCCTTTCCTTTGTAGTATGTAACCTTGTAGTACAATTTCAGAGAGATCCATACACTTACACACAAGTTATTGTCTGAAAACTAGAAAAATGCTTGTTTTTGGCCCTTTTTTGGCCCCTTATTCCTACATGTTTAGGGCAATTAACCCCAAATTCAATCCCAGCCTTCCCTTTGTTATATGGAACCTTGTGGTACAATGTCAGAGAGATCCATACACTTACACACAAGTTATTGTCTGGAAACTAGAAAAATGCTTGTTTTTGGCCCCTTTTTGGCCCTTAATTCCTAAACTGTTGGCCCC